GAGGTCCCTGGGGCGCGGGCAGGGGGGCGGGGGGGTCCCCGGCGCCCGAGGTCTCCGGGCGCCGGCCGGGAGGGGCAACCGACGCCCGAGTTCTCCGAGGCGCGGGCGGGGTGGGGGTCCCCGGCGCCGGAGTTCTCCGGGGCGCGCGGCGCGGGCCGGGTGGGGGTCCCCGGCGCCCGAGGTCTCCGGGGCGCGCGGCGCGGGCCCCTGCCGCGGGGGCGGGGAGCGGCGGGCCGCGGGGGCGCTCGGGGGTCCCCGGCCGCCGGGCCCCGCACTCCGGGCCCGCGGGGTCTCGGCGTGGCGCGCCGGTCACGGGGGGCCCAGGACGGGACCCGCGGGGCCCCCAGCGCGGGCGTGCTCGGCGCCGGGGACGTGAGGGCGGCGGCGGGGGCGCAGCGCCCCCGGCCCCGGGACCCCGGCTCTGGCCTAGCGGCGCCTGCCCCGCGCGCCCGGGGTGCAGCGGGGGTCCCAGAAACTCTGCCAGAAGTTGTCAGGCGGCGCGGGGTCGTGCCGGGGACCCCGAGGGACGGGGCGGGATCGCGGGCCGGGGGTGGCCGCTTTGTCCCCGCGTCCCGGCGCTCACGCGCAGCGGGAGGCCGCGGCCCGAGCCACGCTGGCAGCGGGACCCGCCGCCCCCGACCGCGGGACCCCGGAAGCCCAGGGCGCGCCGGGACCAACTTCGCGGCCGGGCGCGGGGCCGGGGGAGCTCGGGGGCGGCGGGGACTCGGCCCCCCGCGCCGGCAGGGCTGGGGCTACCCCCTGGCAGGACCCCGTGCACCGGGGCCGGGTCGCAGGCGGGGACCCCCCGGGGCCGCTGGCACCGGGTCGCGCCCCTCGGCGTGCCGGCCTGTGCCCACGCCCGGCCCCGGGGGGCGCCGACTCCCGGGACCCCCGCCGGCGCGTCCCCTGCCATTTGCATCCAAGATGGACTCTCGGCGCCGCCCGGCCCCTCGCCAGCAGCGCGGCGCCCTCGCCCCCTCCCCGGCCGAGTTAGACAAAGCCCCCGCGCCCGCCGGAGACGCCCCCCCGGCGCCCCAAGTGGCGGGAAGGCCGCCAGCGCCCGGCCCGGCGCCTTTGTCTGCGTGGGGGCGGGGAGCCCGCCCGGCCCCTGCACCTGTCCCGGGAGGATCCCCCAGCCCCGCGCCCGCCTCCCGGAGGCCGCACCCTCTCGCCCCCGCCTGCTGCGTCCCCAGGAGGGCCGGCTTGAAATAGGGTCACTCCCGCAGCTGCACGGGGGAGCCGGTCTCCTCTGCCCCAGAACCCAAGCCCAGCGCCGGGAGGCCGGTCACTGCCTCCTGCCTCCTGCCGGCTCGGCTGGAAACGGAGGCGCAGAGGGAGAGGCCCGACCGGCCACACGCGGAGCTGGGGTCCCCCCCTCCGCGGACCCTGCCCCTGGTTGGGAGGCGACAGTCACACGTGTGCTCTCACACATACGCGCACAGCTCGTTTACACTCACATATGCGCATTCACACACTCATACACACTCCACACTCACATTTACGCATTCATACGCAACTCACATATACTCACGTTTGTATACACACACGGTCAACACGCATACACTCACATGTACGCGCACACTCACATTTATGTACTTTTATGCTCATGCATGCAACTCACATAGACTCACACACTCATACACATTCTTGCATGTGCCAGCAGGCTGGTGTGTCTCCCACTGGGAACGTGGAGCCTTCTAGATGCCCCCAGGTGCTGGGGTGGGCTGTGCCCCTTCCCCTCTGGCACCCCCTTCGAGCCTTGCCACAGACACTGGTGAGGTGGTGTTCGGGTCCGAGCCGGGTCTGGCCGACAGCCTGAGCACCCACACCACAAGGTTTGGGGTGAGGCGGGGGCCTGCAGGATGCATGTCTTGTGCGTGGCACCCCAGCTCGGGTGCCCCTCCCAGGTCCAAGGGAGCAGGTGCCTCTCAGGCTTGAGGCTGATCCCAACCTAGCCAGATGGCAGTCGGGGAGGGGAAGACCCAGCACAGCCAGGATCCCCGACACTGTGGACCTGAGCCTCTAGCTCAGGGCTGCCTGGTTGTCAGGCTTCTGGACCCCTTTCCTGCCTGCACCCCCAGCCCCTGGAGACTGGCCTGCCTGGCACCAGCTGTCTGGGCTGAGGGGAGTCCATGTGTGGGGGGAGGGGCAGAGTGCCTGGCTGCTGATGGCCGCTTAGATAGACCCATTGGCCTCTGCTGGGCCAGCCCGAGGTCTCCCGGCCCCTGACCATGCCTGGGTCTGCCCCTCTCCTGGGGGAGCATGGGAGGGGCTCAGATGGGCGTGTCTCTGAGGACCCCCAAGGCGGATGGGCCCCACCTTGTGGCTCTGTCTGCAGACTCGGCGCCTGCCTAGGTGGGCATGTTCCCAAGGCCCTGCTGTCGCCACCCCAGGCCCCCTTGACGCGAGTGTGGCTCCGTGGCCCTGGGCCAGCCAGCCAGGAGGCCTGTGTTAGATTAGCACTGGCCATGGACTGGGGCTGCCCTGGGGCCCAGAGCAGCATCTAGCCCAGACCGGGCGGGCTGGCGCTGTGCCCACATCTCACGGTCTCCTTCGTCCCAGCCGGCAGTGTCCACGCGCCCTCCACCAGCATGGCCTCGTCCTCCCAGTATCGGCAGCTGCTCAGTGACTACGGGCCGCCCTCCCTGGGCTACACGCAGGTACTGGGCAAGGGGGTCGGAGGGCAGGCTTCCAGCGCTGCCCGGGTTCTCTGGGGGCTGTGCCCCGGTGTGGCCCCGCCCCATGTCCCTGTGTCCAGGCCCCTGGGCCCTCACGGAGGTGTGTTTCCTGGGGTGCTGCTGAGGAGGGGTTTTCCTGGAACTCGTCCCCTCCCGTGTGGCTGCGGCCGCAGAGAGGTCCCGGGGTCCCCAGAATGTGGTCACATTCCAAGGTCACCCGGGTGGCAGTTGCTGGGTGAGGTGGCGGCTGTCCCGGAGCCACAGGATGGTGAGAAACACAGTCTGGAGGCAGCGCAAGGCCCTGGCCTTGTGGCGGCTGCGGGAGGACCTGGGGGAGCACCGCCAGGCCCAGGGGGGGAGGGAGCACGCGGCCAGGAGGCAGAGGCAGCAGAGGAGGGAGGAGCAGGCGAGGGCCTGCAGAGGGCTGGTGGCCCGGGCAGCCGCAAGGGCGAGGGGAGGGGCAGCAGGGGAGGACCAGCAGGGGAGGACCAAGAGCAGTGAGGAAGGAGAGACACCTGCAGAGGGGCCATGGGCCTGCCTCTGCGGTTCGGCCTCCCTCAGTGCGGCCTTTGGTGACTTTCGCAGTCCTGCCACCCCCGGGTCTGGGTCCCCCTGGCCGTCTGGACCCTCAGCCCCTGAGATGTTCTTCCTCCCGCCTCTGGGTCCCTGGAGTTACTTGGTACTGCTCGTGGTGGGCACAGGCTGGTCCCCTTGGTGGGCCTGGCGGCTGCCCCAACACCCCTGCCCAGGCCGCTGGCCTTGCTGCGGTCACACGGGGGTCCTGGATTTGGGGCTCAAGACCCTGAATGCTTTTCCTTCGGGTTCCAGGGAAGTGGCAGCAGCCAGGTGCCCCAGAGCAAGTATGCAGAGTTGCTGGCCATCATCGAGGAGCTGGGCAAGGAGATCCGGCCCACGTACGCGGGCAGCAAGAGCGCCATGGAGCGGCTGAAGCGAGGTGAGCGGCGCCTGCACTTTTGGGGGTGCTGGCCTCCAAGGGGGAGCACGGGGAAGGGGCTTCTATTTCAGTGGGGGCCACCCAGCCTGCCAATCCGGGAGGCACCGGGGGGTTGTGAAAGTCCCAAGCAGCAGCTCGGGGCTGGCTCCCGGTGTGACACTGTCCGGGACGAGCACAGGGGGAGCCCAGGGTCTCACTGCTGGGGGGCAGGTGCTGGGCAGGCCCAGCAGGCCCGTGCAGTCCCCGAATGGCGGGGTCCAGGGCAGCATGGGGGCCGAGGCCCCAGGAAGCTGGTGAGGGCAACCAGGTCCAGCTCTGAGCCAAGTGAAGTCGGGAGCTGAGAGGGATCGTGTGGGCAGTGAGGGTGTGAAAGTCAGCTGCCAGGCGGGTTTGAGCGGTGGGGCATCTGAGGGAAGGGCCAGGCGTGTGCTGCCCCAGGCCATGTCGATGTTCTCCGTGACCCCCCTCCTGAGGACAGTCTCAAGACCACTAGCTGATCTCGTTCTTGTGAGTGGGAACAAAAAAAAAGAAAAAAAATGGGTTACAACCAATATAGAAGGGCTTGGGGGCAGGGCTGGCGTGAGCTCTGCGCAGCTATCCCCAGAGGCCACTGGCTTCTGCACTGACCATGCGCTTTCTCCAGCTCAGAGGCCGGGTGTGGTCACTCCGGAGCCAGGGCATCGGGGCTGGGCGGGTGTTTGTGCCACCCTGAGCCTCTGCTCTTCTTGCAGGCATCATCCATGCCAGAGGTCTGGTCCGGGAGTGTCTGGCCGAAACCGAGCGCAACGCCAGGTCCTAGCGGCACCGCCAGGAGTCCAAGGAAACATGGAATTCTTGTTTTCAAAATGTAACTGTTTCTCTTCCTGTGGTTCCTTAGGCTGGGAACCCCGAGAAGGCGTCCTTCCCAGTTGATTAGAATTTGCATTTTTGAATAGTTAGCAACACTCTGGGTTTGTTTCTGTTTTTCCTTTAAGCATCGACTCAAAAGGTGCCGGAAACCTTGGCCTTGGCTGTGGCCTCGGCTGCACAGACCTGAGCGTGCCCCGCTGGGCCATCAGTGCTCCAGGTCCCCCTGCCAGCGTAGACCCCACTCTCGGGAACTTTCCTGCTTAAGCATCTGCATGACTATTAGTGCTTCGAGGTCAGGTTCTTAAATGCACAAGTTATAAATACAGAAGAAAGAGCGACCCACCAGACCTACAAGGGCCCCGAAGGCTTTCCGACCAACACTAACTAGACAGATTTCAGTTTTGCCTCCCGTAAGTTGCCCCAAACATCTGGAAGAAAATGACTTAAAAACGTTTGCATCTTTGTATGTATTTATTACTTGATGTAATAAAGCTTATTTTCATTAAAAATTTGTATTAACACATGGGTTCCTTAGATTTTTAAGCGGAATTTTGGCAACAGCTCAACCAGGGCTGCGGCTGATGGTGGAGGGACCTGCCTGGCTGGCCTCAGTCCTGGGCACCCAGAAATCACGAAAATGAAAAATGAGCAGCATTTCACATGAAAAGTGAGAGCCAGGGCCACTGTCCAGGGCCGGGCACCTGCAGGCCACAGCCTGGCTCTGGTCTTGCTCCCAGAGCTGCTCTGGTGTTCGGGGCACACGCTGTCTGTCCGCCCTCCCAGAGGGGCTGCAGGTTCCCGGCGACTAAGATGAGGGGTCTGGAGTCTGTCCTGCGACAGAACTTCTAATGGGGTCTAAAGCAGCAGGGACGCTCCTACACCTCCTCAGATGACCCCCCGCTCCGCCCCCTTCAGAGCTGCTGTACTGGGCACTTGGTAGCTTTTGTCCTGGCCCTGGGTCAGGAGGATTTGAGGGGCATAAGCGGCTTTAAATAGTGGCCAAGAGCTGGAGAGAGTCTAGCAGGTAAGGGGCTGACCCATGTTTGATCCCAGCCTCCCACAGAGCCCCGGACCCCTCTCTCCCCCATGGAGTGATTCCTGAGTGCAGAGTCAGGAGTACCCTGAGCATCACCGGGTATGAACTGAAAATCTCAAGAAAACCCCTGTCCTTCCCAGCTCAATAATCGAGCTGGCCGGGTCCCACCCACACACCAACCCTCATAGTATCTCTCACTGGACACTTTGACTCGATTCCCAGAGTTCTTTGAACCGTTTCTTCTTTTCTAAGATTTCCTTTGCTCTCTTTTTCTTCTCCTGTTTTTTCCGCTCTGCCGCTCGTTTCTCTTGGTGAACGGGGCTGCTCTCGCCATTGTAGAAAACATCGACCTTCTCTTGCAGGATCTTGCGAGCCAGCCTCCGGTTCTGATCCACAGATCGCGTCTGATGGCACTGCAGGAAAGGCCAGAGGGCGTGAGGGGCTGGACATGGGGGTCGCCAGGTCGGCCCTGTCCTTCAGAAGGGCTGGGTGGGGAGTCGGGGCGGAACAGGGCCAGGCTGACACACGCTCTCTCCACTGGGGGATGAGGCGGCTCTGTGTGTGTTAGGGGAGGGAGGCTCAGTAGCTCTCAGATAACGTGAAGTTCCAAAATGATTTGCAAAATAGCCCAGCTTCTAGCTTGTAGACAGGGAACCCTTTATAACTTTCTTCAATTTGTTTTTGGGCCAACCCGGTAGGCTTATTACTCTTGGCTCTGTGCTCAGGGGTCACTCCTGGTGGGTTCGGGGGACCCAACCCAAGTTGGCCATGTCCAAGGCCAGTGCCCTCCCTGCTGTTCCATCCCTGCTGGGCAGCGTGTCCTCTTACCTTGACCACGATGCCCGAGGGCACATGCTTTAGCACCACGCAGTTGCTGGTCTTGTTGGTGGCTTGGCCCCCAGGCCCGTGTCCTTTCACAAACTGCTCCTCGAGGTCACTCTCGGCCAGGTCCAGCAGGGCGGGGCCATCCTTCTTGCCCACCTTTGGGACCTGCCACACTGCAGGCCTGTCCCACGGCCATGGTCCCCACGGCCCCATCCACATTCCGGCCAGCGGGGGGGCCCGGCGCAGCAGAGCCCACGGGTACATGGGCAAGGGCCTGGCGGGCGCAGGACCTGGACTGGACAGGAAACAGCATCTCAGGCAGCGCCTCTTGGAAGCCCTGAGGCCGAGGTGCAGCCTCACTCCACTGCCTGCTCTGGGTGAGCCCGGCGCCAACAGACCCAGGGAACTGCAGAGCACCCCGAGAAGGTTGGGTTGGGGAGTAAAGAATGGGGCTGGGACTGGGTCAAGACACGGAGCCTCCAAGGACGGGGACCGGAGTCAAGCCCAGTGAGGTTGTTCGGAGCTGCTGAGACCCGAGCGGGGACAGTCTATTTCTATAGACAGGGAGCGTCACCATCAGTCACTGTCGTGATTGTTCTCAATGTCGCCAGTGTCAGGGACTTGAAGGGAACATCTGTCCCCACACAGGCGCTGCCAGTGACAGGATCCAACTGGTCCTGGCGGCCAGGCCAGCCAGCGGGTGGGTGTCGTGGAGGGGCCCAGTGCCCTGCCTGGAGGGAGAGTTGGAGCCGGGGCGCCTGGAGAGCCATTCAGGGTCTTAGCCCGCCGCCAAGGCTCGAAAGATGAGCAGGACAGTACCCGGCGTCCACAGTGGGGGCGCAACTGGGCTGTCTTGTGGTGAAAATGGGCACAGCAGCTGTCCACTCAGGCGGCTGGGCCAAGGACGGGGTCAAACCGCAGGCTGGGGAGGGCCTGTGCTGCCCCTTGGCCAGAGTCCACCCCCGGATCAGGCCCCACAGCTGCCTAACTAGCTCTGGGCTGCGGGTCGGAACCCAAGGAGGGAAGGCAAGCTTGCCCTTTGCCCTCTGCCCCCTCACCTCGCACCTGTGGTCAGTGGACCCCTCGGAGCTACTCAGCGCTGCCTTGGCCCACGGGCTTCTTCCAGTGCTGATGGCTCTCGCCTAACCCCTGCCCTCACGGCTACGCTGAACAGGGGTGTGGGCAGCCCGTGGCTGTGGCGCTGCAGGGTCCACACCTTTGTGCTCACACCCCCCAGAGTCGCAGGCAGGCTGCACATGTGACCCCCGGCACTTGGACTCTGGACCACACAGGCAGCGGCTGCACAGTCTGCTACTCCTTGGGGCCCTTCAGGGCGGTGTGTCTCAGTGACCAAACAGGCGGCCTTTGCATCCTTCCCTGGGAAATGAGTCAAATGACAGACACCTTCCAAACCTCCCACAGGTGCTTACGCTCAGAGGGTGACATGGGGCTGGCCCACCTGCGTCAGGTGACGAGGGGGCTGGTGAGTGGGCCCCGTCCCCTAGGGCAATGCAGGTGCTGCAAAAACTGTTTTGACTTGTGGAAGATTTTTAGAAGTAGTCGCCTGAAGAGAAGATTGAATAGGACTGTTTTCTTTCTTTTTATAATTTTCATATATACATTTTTTGGCTTTCTGGGTCACACTGGCAATGCTCAGGGGTTCCTCCTGGCTCTGTACTCAGAAACTACTCCTGGCGGTACTTGGGGGATGCTGGGGATCAGAAGCAGGTCGACTGTGTGCAAGGCAAACGCCCTCCCTGCTGTGCTATCTCTGGCCCCAGGGCTGTTTTGTTCTGAAAATTTTATTTTGTTTTTGGGCCACACCCAGCGATGCTCAGGGGTTATTCCTGGCTCTGCACCCCTGGGGATGCTGGAGGGGGGGCATACGGGGATTGAACCCGGGTAGGCTACATGCAAGGCAAACGCCCTACGCGCTATGCTACCACCCTGGCTCCTGAAATTCCTTGCAACAGAGAATCCCCTCCCCTATGACATTTGGTGACTGTGTCTCTGCGTCCAAAATGTCCCTTTGCTCCGTCCCTTTCCTCCCGTCTGCCTTCAGTCTGCAGAATAGAATTCCTTTGTGTGTCCACAGCGGCCCTGGCTTGGATTCATCATGGAACCCGGCCCGGCCCTCTGGGGCTGCCCTTCCGCTAGCTGGACAATGGGCCCAGGGCTGCCCACCTGGCATGCAGTGCGGCCACAAAGGCAGGCGCGGCGCTGAGATGTCGCGTCCCAGACGGGCGGAGTCGTGGTCTCACGGCTCTGCCGCCTGCTGCCTGCCCTAGTTCCGAGCGACACACACACAAGCTGGCCGGTCTCCCGCCCAGTTGAGGTCCAGCGGGGTCCCCGGTGCGGGGACCGGCTCTTTGTTCCTGCCAATCAGGCAGTTCTGAGGACTCAGCATCTCCAGGGGCTCTGGCCCCACGCCAGGGACTGCTGAAAATGACAAAACACGCCCCTGGCTCCCTGTCCCCAAAGCCTAGACAGGAACACGGATTGGATTTCGGTTTTTGTGATGCCCACAGAGCGACCCAAAGTCTTTGGGGAACAATCAGCACTGCTGAAATTAGAGCGCGTCGGGCTTTAGAGCGGCAGGAAAGCAGCAGGAGTCAGTGGGAGTCGCCCTCCAGCTCCCGGCGGTACCTCGGGCACTTCCAAGGGGCCAAGTGAGCAGAAACAAAGGCCTGGGACACACGTGGCCCCTGTGTCTTGGCTTCGGGGAGTTTCTACCCCCATCCCGTGCCAGGACCTGAGCAGACAGCAGGACCTCTGCCACAGCCGGCTCTTAGGGACTCCTGGAGGTCACTGTGCTTGGCCAGGGCCAAGCATCCCAGTTACCACACTTTGGGCAGGAGGCTGGTTCCCCCAAAACCCCCCTCTGGGGAGCAGCTGCCTTCCAGGCACCTCTAAGACAAACACAGGGTACCCGAGTCTATTTTCATCTTTGGACTCAGCTTTTGGACACCAATAGCCTAAAATCCATTATTTTTTTTCTCCTCAAAAGGCAGGGGACTGGTTTCTCAAACTAAACAAAGGAACAGCTGTGCAGCTGGAGTGAGGGGGGGGACCCCTCAGCCTCCCCATGGGGCCTGGCAGTGTGTGGGAGGCATTTCTCTCTTTTTTTTTTTTTTTGCTTTTTGGGTCACACCTGGCGATGCACAGGGGTTGCTCCTGGCTCTGCACTCAGGAATTACTTCTGGCTGTCATCAGGGGACCATATGGGATGCTGGGAATTGAACCCGGGTTGGCCGCATGCAAAGCAAATGCCCTACCCGCTGTGCTATTGCTCCAGCCCCTGCATTTCTCTTTGGAGGCCCACAGCCTGTTATGCTCAGGACCAAGGATGGCAGGGATGGAGCCTGGGGATCCTGGCCACAGCTGTGAGTTGTAGCGGCGTGGGCACTGCTGCCGCTGGGAGCCCTGGGGTCCTGTGTCCAGGAGGGAGTGCGGGAAACCATTTCAACAGCAAAATGAATATTGATTGTGCTCACGGGGGCGGGGGAGAGGGGTGATCACACGGGATTGCAAAACTGGGTCATCTGAAAAAAGAGAAGACCCAAATGTTCTAGAAGAGTCCTGACAACACTGGACTTTAGCATGGCCTTGGGCGTCACAGAGCAAACAGTGGGGGGCAGGGAAGATGACTCTCTGGGCACAGGCTTTGCATGCAGGAGGCCTGGGGTCTGTCCTGGCATTGCATGCCTCCTGAACACTCCAACAGTGGAGAACAATCTTCTGAGAAATACTTAATACTAACCCAGGTTTTCAAAGAGCACTGGTGCTCCCAGCAAAACGGGCGTTAAAACCAAGTGACCATCCTCCTACTTTCTCATCTCTCCTCTTCTGCTCAAACAGTCCAGCTACCTGCCATCAGAGTGCTGGAACATTCCGAGATGGAGCAGCTGGACTTGGCTCAGGCTGGAAATTGATGGCAGTGCTCACTCACTGTCCCATGGTGTCCGCTCACCAAAGCAACCTTTCACCAACGTGACGGTGGTCTGACAACCCAATCACAGACCAGATGATTTCACACACTTTTGTTTTAGAACTTAAAGGGCAACAGCCTCCAGGAGAGTGACCTACAGATTATTTACCTGGTATAGTCTAACGTGAGAAGTCCTTGAAAACCAGAAATTACCAATGGCTGTTTGGTGAGGTCATAACTGTCTATGAAATCAGGTGCCAAGGAGATAATTATGATGCAGAGAGATAACCCGGCTCCCAGCAGTTTCATAAGGAAGATAAAAACACCTTCGTGAAATGAAGTCCTGGTTTCGATGCAGAAATCTTTTGGGACTATCTACTGTAGCTCTGAAAGAAACACCCAGATGGGCTGGAGTAGAGAAAGAATATTTAAGTGGAACCACGGTGGGCTGGAGAGAAAGTCCAGTGGGCTGAGTACATGCAGGAGGCCCTGCTGACCTGCTGCCAGAGTAGCCCCAAAGCACTGCTGGGTTTGCCCCCAAACACTCTCCCTCATTTCCTTCCATGCTTAATAGGAATTCAGATTTAAAATGAGTTCACCAATTTTCACCAATTTGTTTTTGTTTTGATTCAGGGAACTGGTTCCAAAAATGATCAACTGTTCAGATGCAAAAATGAACGAGAGGGGCTGGAGAGATACTACAGCAGGAAAGGTGCTTGCCTGGCACCCAGCTGACCTGGGTTCAGGTCTCACCCCACCACCTGGGCCCTGCCAGGAGTGATCCCTGAACACAGAGCCAGGAACAAACCCTGAGCTCTGCCCAGTATGCCCCGAAAATAAAAACAAACAATAGTGAGGGTGCTGAAGAGGTAGTATAGTGCTTACTTTACATGTGGCCAATTTTGGGTTTGATCCCCAGCACCCCATTTGCCCCTTCCCAGTGCCTAGCAAAGAGTAACCCCTGAGCACTGCTGGGTATGCAACGCCCCCCCACAACAAACAAAAAATCACCACTACCACCACCAACACATCTCAGCGAGACACAGTGACACTTTAGTTAAGAGACCATGAGTCTTAATGTTACTAGCACAGAAAAACACAAGCTGCCCAATCTTGAAGCCATAGGTAAAGGCCCTCCCGTTGATCGTCGATTTGCTCGAGCGGGCCCAGTAACGTCTCCATTGGAGACTTCGTTGTTACTGTGTTTGGCATATTGAATACTCTCGGTAGCTTGCCGGGCTCTCGGAGAGGGGCGGAGGAATCGAACTCGGGTCGGCCATGTTGGCCGCTTGTAAGGCGAACGCCCTACCGCTGTGCTATCGCTCTAGCCTGGCAAGCTCCCCGTGACGTATTCGATATGCCAAACACAGTAACAACAAAGTCTCCAATGGAGAAGTTACTGGGCCCGCTTGAAGCCATAGTGACAGAAAATCAGGGACCCGCGGGGAACCACATCCTCAAATGGGGCCGGAAGGGCCAAGGAGATGGCTCAGCGGGCAGAGCACAAGCAGTGCGTGTCGCCAGCCTGGGTTTGAGGCCCAGGGTCAGTCAGGGGGGCATAGAGCCACAGAGCCCCAAGTGGCCAGGACCTTCATGCCCTGCAGGAGGAAGCGCGAGCCCTCGCTCCTTTATTCAGGCTGTACCTGACACACTCACGTCACCGACAACCGCGGCCCGCGGCCTCGGAAGGCAGGGTTGGGCTTAAGGGCAAGGGAGCACACGGGCAGTGGGGACGGAAGCTGCGTGGCGCCCGGGGACAGTGGGGTCGTGCACCGGGCAACCCCGGGTGTTCCGGGCAGGCTCTGGCCGCAAGTGAGCACAGAGGCACCTGCTCGCCGGGAAGCGGGGGGCGCGCGGTCAGGACCCGCGGGCGGGGGTAGCACCTACTGCACTCCAGCAACCTCGGGGCCTCCGGGCAAGGGCTGGGGCGACCCCGGCGGGCTCCTGGCCCTCCTCGCGTCCGGCCCGGCTTCGGGGCGAGCGCTTACCTGGCCTGGGAACCTACTTCCCGCCCCGGCGCACCAATCGAGCCCCGGCCTCTGCGCACGCGCCGTTCCCCGCCCGGCGGCGTCCGCCCGCCCCAGCTTCGGCCTCGCGCTTGGGAACTGCGCATGCGAGAGGTCGGGGCGGGGCTCCGGCGAGCCAATCCGCCGAGACGACTCGACAGAGGCCCCGCCCCGCCGCGGGCCGCGGCAGCCGGGCCGGAAGTCGGGGAGTGGGCGGGCCCTAGCGCCGACGCTCCGCCCCGCCAGCTCCGAGCAGCCAATCGGCGGCGGACGCGGGGCGCGCGCACGCTCTCTCGAGTTTAACGGTCGCGAGGGGCGCTCGCCCGACCCCGACCCCGGCGGTGCCGGCGGCCGCCAGGTAAAGCGCCGCTGGGGAGGCTCCGGGGCGCTGTCTGCCTGGGGGAGCAGCGGGAGGGCCCCCGAGGACGCCGTCCGCGCCGTCTCCGGGGCGGGGGGCGCCGGCGGCCTCGCCCCCGGCCCGGTGTTGTGGGGGCGCCGCGGCCGCCGGGCCCCTTTTCTAGACTCTGCCCCTGAGTGACACCCGCGCGGCCCAATCGCAGAGCGCCTCTGCCGCGGGGCGGGGGGGTCCTGCAGGTGCATGGGTTTGTGTTCTGATTCCTGCTTTGGGCGTCTGGGGGGGACGGAGAATGCGGGCGGCGGGTCTGTGCGGCGAGGCCTACTGGGCGGTCGCGCCCGGGGGCTTGTCAGTGGCCGCTGCCGCATCCCCTTTTGAGGGGGCTCAGGGTTGGCGGCTTGGAGCGCTGCTGCGTCCGTTGTTCCCTAGGAGACCCCCTTTGCAGCGTCTGCTTCGGGCGCTTTCGCCCCCCGCGCGCCTGCGGGAGAAGCATCTGGGCGCTGCGCGTGGTTTCCGGCCGCATCTCCCACCCCCGCGGGGCCTCGGCTCTCCGGGGGGCCCGTGCTGCCGGGGCGCGGGGTCCCGGGCAGTCCCGCTCGAGACCCCGGAGCTGGACCAAGCCTGCAGTTTGCGTGGTGGGAGTTGGTTGCTTGAATTCTAGACTGTGCCCCACCCCCCCCACGCCGCAAAGGGACCCATCACCCCGGCCTCTGCAGGTACCCGTGACCCCTGGGCCGCTGCAGGGACCCATGACCCTTGGGCCACTGCAGGGACTTGTGACTCCTGGGCCGCTGCAGGGACCCGTGACCCCTCCCTCTGCAGGGACCTGTGCTCCCCCTGCCGCTCTGGCATTTCTCTAGTCGTGCTTAGTATCAGACACAGCGTTTCTAGTTCATCTATGCATCAGTACGCTGGGAAGCTTGGCAAAATTAAAGAATGAGATGCACAATTGTTACATAGTAGCATTCTATCTCCTACCTTAACCGTTTGGCACACAGCCCTGACTGATGCCCTGAAGATACCTGGCCCCCTGCAGGCCCTTCTGAGTGGGATCCTGCAGGCCACTCAGATCTTTTGGTGGCTCCAGGGCTCCCCCACCCCCCCTCGAGGCAACAGGGAGCTCCAGCCCTGGCTCTCCCAGCCACCTCTCCTACTTGCTTTTTATAGACTTTTTGTGGTTTGCTTGGGGGGGCAGGCAGCGTGAGCGGGTGGGGGACAGGGTGCCAGGATTAAACCTGGACCTCACCCATGCAAAGTAAAAAAGCAAGAGAAAAAACAAAGGGGAGGGCTGGAGCAATAGCACAGTGGGTAGGGTGTTTGCCTTGCACGCAGTCGACCTAGGTTCGATTTCCAGCATCCCATATGGTCCCCCGAGCACCGCCAGGAGTAACTCCTGTGCATTGCTGGATGTGACCCAAAAAGGAAAAAAAAACAAAGGGAATGCTGAGCTGCAGCATAGTACCTGCCCTGAAGTGTGTATGGTGCCCCAGGGAGGGGAGGATTCTGGCCTTGAAGGCGGAGGCCCTAGCAACCCTGGTTCCCTGAGCACTGAGCCAGGAGTAACCCCTGAGCACCACCAGGTGTGGCCCAAACACCCCCACCAAAATAAGTTTGTATTGAGATCTGACTTGGATGTCATAAACCCCCTCTGTTTAGCATGTATGACTTGATGATTTTCAGTATATTCAGAGGTTTACAGTCATCCCTAGTGTCAACTTCTAGAACTTTCCCTGCCACAAGAAGAAACCCTGTACTTAACTGCCATCACTTCCACACCTGCTCCTGACAACCTGACCCTAGCTTTGCCTGTTCTCCCCACTTCATAGGAATGAAACATAGTCTCTTACAGACTGTACCTGGCTCACTGTTTTCCACATTGTAACATTTGTAAGAATTACTTTCTTCCTTTGCCTAAAGATATTCCGTTATATGGCTTTCTGCTACATTAGGTGGAGCGATAGCACAGCCGGTAGGGCGTTTGCCTTACACGCGGCCAACATGGCCGACCCGAGTTCGATTCCTCCGCCCCTCTCGGAGAGCCCCGACGATCAACGGGAGGGCCTTTACCTTTTACCTACATTAGGTGATGGGCACTTGGGTTTCCTATTTTGTCAACTGGACAGTGTTGCTCACCTAGCTGAGTCTTCTAGAAAGGATCAGAGGCGCCCGCTCAGGAAGGCACTTGCTGGATTTAGTGCTTTTCATATTAGTGTTTCCCCCATTCACTTTCAGATTCTCTTGGGAACTGGGATATTTCACAGTTCTGAATGTTAGCAGCTGAAAATGCCTGTGGGCGAAGCAGTGGAAGATGACGGGGGAATGGTCTCTTCAGACTCAGGCCAGCTGTTCTCAGAGAAGAGGGTTGACAGTTTCTGTACGTTACGGAAGATTTTGATTTGGTGAAAACTTTACAAAAAACTTCTATAGAATTTTTTATAAAAAATTCTCCCCATTCTCTTGGAATGGACCTAAATACTAATAGGTAAGATTGGAAAAGATATTCCTAAACTGTAACACATCCAAGTAACGATTTGTACACTTGCCGGTTTACTCCAACTGTGTCATAATTATTGATTTGTTGTTTTGGGGGGATTTGGCCCACACTGGCAGTGCGCTTGCACTGTGTCCACTGACGCTGGTTAGACCCCCCCTAACGCCTTGTACAGTTCTCATGGGGTGACACCTGAGCATTGTCAGATGTGACCAGACCCACTCTCCCCAAATGAATGTCTTTTTGTGTGTTTTGGACCACACTTGGCTGGCTCAGGGTTCCTCCTGATGGGCTCGGGGGTCCATATGGGATGCTGGGGATCGGACCTGGGAGGCCACACGTAAGGCAAACCCCCGCCCCACTGTACTACTGCTCCGACCCCAGAATTGATTTGTTTTTGTTTCTGTTTTTGCTTTTGAGCACACCTGACAGTGCTCAGGGCTTACACCTGGCCCTGTAAGTCAGAACACTCTTGGGGTGGGCTCAGTGGACCATATGGGCTGCCTGGAATTGAACCGGGGTCAGTCGCGTACAAAGCAAGCACCCTCTCTGCTGTACTGTCTCTCCAGCATCCCCCCCCCCCACACACACACATCAACTACTTAAAAAAAGAAACAAAAAGCAGTTCATTCTCTGCCCTCCTTAGGTGGAAGTTGAGGCAGCTTACCACAAATGAAATAAAAGAAGGAAGCAGAGATTAGAGTAGGGTGAAGGGAAAGAGGAGAGGCCTTACCTGCTGGGTGCAGGGTGCTTTCTGCATCTCCGGAGCCCCTCCAGGCCCCCGTTCTGGTCAGCCCTGTGGGTCCCTGTGTCCTACTTGCGAGGCTGGTGGCAGTTCAGCCCCTTTCCCTGAGACTGTAACCTCAGTCATCCCACCCTTGATGTATAGACAGTACACTATGTTCTTCTCTCCCCTGGAGTTTTAATACTGTTCTGATCTTAACCTTTAAAAAAATGATTATAAGATTTTTCTTTATTGAAAGTGTTAATGAAAATGACCTTAGAGGAACTTGAACAAAACTTGATGTCTTCGATTAAATGCTTTTTTTTTTTTTTGAGGGGGTTGGAGGTAGGTCACAGCCAGTTGCGTTCAGGGTTTCTGATGTGGCCAGGGACCCCTCCTGGTGGGACTCTGGGGACAGTCTGCGCTGCACGGACCATAAGCGATGCTCAGGAGACTGTGTGCTGTGCTGGGGATAGAACCAGGGTTGGCATGTGCAAGGCCGGAATCCAGGGGCCACAGAGATAGCACAGTGGGCAGGGCGCTTGCCTAACATGCAGCCCACCTGGGTTCAATCCTTGGCGCCTGTATGGCCCCCTGAGCCCTGCCAGGAGTGACTCCTGAGCACCAAGTGTGGAGTAAGCCCTGGGCAGCACTGGATACTGCCCCAAAACCAAAAAGAAAGAAAGCCAGAAAGAAGGCACCTTGATCCCTGTTTCTCTCTAGCCTCCTCTGTGTTTTCATAAAACAGATGTCAAATGAATTCTTCTGAGGCCTTCAGGAACAATCACTCCTGCCTTACACTGACTAGGTTAAGTGAGAGCTCACTGTAATTGGCTGACACTGCTTTAGTCGAGACAGTGAGTGCACAGATAAGCAGGGGCTTATCACACAGAATTAGGAGGAACCCAATTAAGGTAAATCTGGACAGACAAAGAATCAGCTCTTCCCAGCGCGAGGCTATCCAGAGGCGGGGCTGGCAGTGTTTCTGGTCATTCTTTATCAGAAACTTTATTTTCTGTTGCTACTTCCTAGTGTTCTCTCACTTCGGAGGGTCTTTCTGTTGTGTTCCTAAAAAATAATAGTGCTTTCTGTCTTCTTGCTGCTGTTTTCCTTTCCTGGGCAAACTTGATCAGATTTTCCACAAATGAGGCGCCATTAAGAAGGATTCAGTGACAGTGGCTTTGTACTTCTTGGCTAAATTTTAGACTGCTGAATTATTCAACACTTGGGTAGAATAAAGAAACCATTTGAATTATTTATGTCTCAACAGAAGTAGTCCCCACCTTAGTACAAATGGGGTGTCCTCTTTCTCAGGGAAGACCAGACCGTCTGTAATTGAAGGTGCAGTTGAAGTCCTCACCTCTTTAATGCAAGAGCTACAAAACAATGACAAGACTGATTCGGAGCTTTGGAAAAACTGTGAGGTATCTGGATTTTTGTTTTGCTTTTGGAATTTAAAAGTAATTCGCCTTATAAATGTGCTTCTTAAACTCTAAATTATGTAAAAACTTATGTTTTAAAGAGCATAACCTTAAGTTACTGTTAAGATGGTCCACTCTGTTGGGCTGAAAATTGGGTGGATGTGAAAAATCACAATTACCTTTAATAATATGTTATGATTAGACATATTAACTTCTGTTTTACTGTTTTAATTTTGGGGTTTGGAACCACACCTGGCAGTCTCAGGCCTTCCTCCTGGCTCTGCACTCAGGGACCGAGATTCCCGGCAGGTCTTGGGGGACCAAGTGCCATGTAGGGGTTTGAACCTTGAAGCTTGTTTCCTTCACCTGGATAAAAAGAATTAATTTCTATTATGTTTGGAATTATCTGACTGCTTAACTTTTTTCATATGCATATAAGATTGACTACTGAATATGGAATTAAAGAGAATTCTTTTTTTGTTTGCTTTTTGGGTCACACCTGGCAATGCTCAGGGGTTATTCCTGGCTCTGCACTCAGGAATCACTCCTGGCGGTGCTCAGGGATGCTGGGAATTGAACTCGGGTTGGTCGGGGGCAAGGCAAGCGCTCTACCTGCTGTGCTATTGCTCCAGCCCCCCCCTCTTTTTTTAGAAAACTATTATATTTTCTTTCTTATTTTTTGGGTCTCATTCAGTGGTGCTTAGGGCTCCTGGAAGGGTGACCATACAGGGTGCCAGAAATCAAACCTGTGCCCAGGGGTCAGCCATTTGCAACGCCAGTGCCCTGCGCTTCCTGCTAGCTCTGATCCCACTTTTGTTTAAACACTGTGGTTTACAAAGTTGTTCACAATATAGTTGTTCCATAACTATTGGCATTTAGTTTTCCAATACCAGTCCAGCCACCAGAGTGACCTGCCTGCAACCATTTCCCACCCCCTCCCCCAGCCTGACCCTTTTGTGGGCACAAAATTATAATATTTTTTAAAAAATCATTTTTTAACTGAATCACAGTGAGATACAAAGCTGTTCATGATAGGGTTTCAGTCATACAGTGTTCCAACACCCGTCCCTTCACCAGTGCACATTTCCCATCGAACCCGGGTCGGCTGCGTGCAAGGCAAACACCCTACCTGCTGTGCTATCGCACTGCCCATGTACTTAAATACTTATAGTAAATTTGCTTCTAATGTTTCTAGCATTGTCATTTTGTATGAGCACAGTAAGCTATACCAAAGTTAAAGTTTGGTTCTTCCTGAAGACATCTCACTATATATTTCAGACCACAGTCCTCAGGCCAGTTTAGTCTTCTAACCCCAGTAGGGTCTTTATCCACTTACTTCTTTTGAGTCATGACAGAGTTTGTCCATGACCATGCTCTTGACTTATAGCTGAGTGTTGTGGCATGTTGGCCTGGCCCATTTCGATGCCAGGGTAACTCACAGCTTGCCCTGGGTCTATTCAGTTCCTCATCAGGACCCTGCTGTTGGAGTGCTAGGCAACTAAGGGCAACTGAGGCTTAAATCGAGAAAGCAGATGTCTAGGAGTGAATTATTAATTGTCTTTCTGTGTCCATACAAAAAGGACATTGCTTTAAAGTAAACTATTCAAAGGATAGGGAAAAGCAATATTTAATTTACAAATACAAGTTCAGCATCCTTAGAAGGATCTGACTTTACAAGTTAACAGAATCTGAGTAGGGGGAAAAGGTGATTAACTGGATGGGGAGGAGAGCACAGAGAAGAGGTTACAGATAAATTCAGAGGAATGGAAGTGACTCGGGAGCACTGTGATGGGTATAATCCGATAAACCTAAGCTCCTTGAGGTAAGGGAGAAAGGACAAACCAGTGTTATCCTACAAGGTATATCCCTTAGCCTTTTTTCAACATTCAGTTCAAAATAATTTATTTTATATTGTTTGTCACAACTAAATGGCTAGTGGAATTAAAAAAAAACTTCAGTAAAAGAAAGTTTGTGGGGCTGGAGAGATAGCACAGCGCTTGCTCATGCAGCTGACTCGGGTGCGATCCCAGCACCCCATATGGTCCCTCCAAGCCCACCAGGAGTGATTCCTGAGCACAGAGCAGGAGTACGTTCGATGTGGCCCAAACACAAAACAAAAAATAAATTTGTGAAAATTGTTACATTCGCCGTGCGGTCATTAAGTCCTTGTCTGAAGGTTTACTTAGCTGTTGTTGCTAGCCTTTGGGGTTATTGTGTGTGTTTATTGTTTATTTATCTTTTTAAAATTTAGTTTTGCTCTTATTAGGTTGTTCACAATAATTTATTGCATTCAGTATTTCAATACTAAATCCCACCACCATTGTACCTTATCCACCTCCACTATTTCGAATTTTCCCAGCCACCACCTGTCTGCCCCTATAGTAGGCCCTAAATAATTTATTTTGTATTGCTTGTTATGAATAATTCTGTAAAACTTAGCAAAAAAGCTTTCCTTAGGAGAAAGTGTGTGAAGATTGTTGTATCTCACCCTGGAGCAATTGAGCCCTTGTAAAAGAGATTACTAACATGTTGCCACACGTTGATCCTTGTGTGCTAATATGTTTTTTCATTGAGATTGGGTGCCTTCTACTCACATCTCATCCAAATGTGTGCTGTTCTCGGTACGTCATTAGTATAGAGTATGAGATGTCACGTGGCTGCATTCGCTCCAGGAATTCTAAAATTTTAAATGAGGTAATACAACTGGAGTTGAATTTTTAACTGGATGGTGACTTTAGAGTGTGAGGCATCTCTGCAGCTTGTTGATCTCTTCCGAGATTTATTTGTGAGTCTCAGGAGCGTGAGCTTATATGGCACCAGAGGCAATTTGTGGGTGAGACTGACCACCTTCCGGAAGAACAGGGGGAGGTCGTCCATCCCTGACTCTGTGAGAGCCTGGAGATTTTGGTCACAAAACCCGTGTGCCTCAGGTTTTCAATGGATTCACTTGTGAGTGAGGCCCGTTCGAGCTTGTGGAGAGTGGCCGTGAGCCTGGCAGTGGTTGGTTTCTGGAGGTTTTTGGCTGCCGGGGCTCTGTTAGGGTGGGTGGTGGGTGTCCTGGATATGAGGTTTGGCCTGGCGTGGGGGCTGGAGACATCTCTGTGTGTGTTTATTGAGCTTAGTTGGCTTCTGAGGTTTGTCCTGAGGGATATTACTGTGGATTGTGAACTTGGGAGCCATCTCGAGAGACTTCGGGGTCTGTTGGCGTGGGCCCATGGCATGGCTCTGGGGTGTGGGCATGGCTGCCAGGGCTTCTGGAAGTACGGGGGCCGGGAGAGGTTTGGGGGTAGACCACCCCTTCTCCCCACTTCAAGGAAACCCCAGAGTTCTCAGCCTGAAAACCACTGTACCTGAAATTTTCGTCGGTTTGGTGTCTCTGCAGAGGGTAGTTTTGAAGCTGTGGAGTTGGCTGTGTGGGTGCAGCTGGGCCTTTGGCAGGTTGAGCCCTTGACCCACCCCCGCCCTCACAGGGTGCCCCAGAGCTTGCAGCTGGGGAATCGGAATGTCATTCAGACTTTGTTGTGTGTCTGTGAAGCCAGGGGATGATGAGTGTACCTGGCGGGATGTGGGACGGGGGTGCCTGTTGCAGTTTAACTGTGCTGTTCTTTGTGATGTGATGGTGTCTGTAGTCATGATATGAATATATCAGCTTGGGGTAGGAGCTCCAGTACAGTGAGGTAGGGCACTTGCCTTGCATGCAGTGGCTCCGGGTTCAACTCCCGGTACCCTGTATGGTCCCGGAAGCCCATCAGAAGTGAACTCCGAGCTCAGAGCCAGGAGGGAGTCCTGAGCACCATGGGGTGAGGCCCAGAAACAAAGCAGAAGCATACCTGTAGCTTTTGGCACACCTGTCCGCAGAGCAGTTCAACGGGCCCTTTTCCCAGTGACGCCCAAGCTCCGGAGGCCCAGGCCCCTAAGGGCGGGGGCTAAACAGCTGACCGCCACTTCGTGCCCACACCCACATCAGCACTGAGTTTCACAGTGGAGATGTTACTGATACATGCTCGAGCAAATCGGTGAACAACGGGATGACAGCGCTACAGTGCATATAAAACACTCAGCTATTGGCCATGCTGGGCTGTGCTCAGGGTGTGCCCTGGTGCCCGTGGGGCCCTGTATGATGATCTTGCCCAGGCCAACTGCACAGCCAGTGCCTGCGGTGGTGAGCTCAGGGAACAGAAAGGTGCCCACGGGGCTGGTGTGTACCCAGAGGCCAGCGAGAGGCAGGATGGAGCAGGCCCAGATGGAGCCGGGCTGAGTTGCATGAGGAGCGGCAGGCGTGGACCGTCTGACCAAGGCTGGTCCTGGCTGCCACACCTTCCTCCACCTCACTCACCTTCCCTCCATCCGGGAAACTTCCCCTCATCCTTATTGTAGCTGCCTCCTCCCCGTATGGGCTCTCAGCACAGCTTCCCAAACCGTGCTGAGGAGTTGCTCTCTCCGGGGGCCAGAGAGGCCGGACAGCAGGGAGGGCACTGACCTTGCACACGACTGACCCAGGTTCGATACCCAGCAGGCATCTCATAGGGTCTGAGCTCCACCAGGAGTGATTCCTTAGCCAGAGAAACTCCTGAACATTACCAGGTGTGACCCCCCCCCCCCCCGAAAAAATAAAACAATTTTAAAGAGAAGTACTTAAGGGGCTGGAGCAATAGCAACAGCAGGTAGGGCGTTTGCCTTGCACATGGCCAACCAAGGTTCGATTCCCAGCATCCCATATGGTTCCCTGAGCACTGCCAGGGTAATTCCGGAGTGCAGAACCAGGAGTAACGCTGGGTGTGACCCAAAAAGCCAAAAAAAATAAGTAAATAAATAAAGAGAGGTACTTAAGGCTATGTTTTTGTGTTTTTGCATTAAATAGTCTTTTTTTTTTTCTCTTCTGGAGTGGAGGCATACCCAGCAGTGCTCCAGGGCTGTTTCTGGCTGGGTGCTCTGGTGACCCCTGGCAGTGCTCAGGGTATAATATGCCAGGGATCAAGCCGGGGACCCGACCAAAAGGGCCACATGGAGGGCAAGTTCTGTGCCTGTGTCCTGACTTTGTCCCTTCAACACAGTCTCACGGCTCAGATGTGCACATGTGTGGAGGAGGCTCGGGCCCCCGAGCTCAGCACTGCCAAGTGGGACTCCAGGCTCCCCCAACCACCCCTAATGCCCTGGATCACTGAGGAAATTCTCTGCGAAGTACATCCTGTTTTTAACTCATACTTTATAATTAATAGACCAGGTGGTTGCAGCTGTTCAACTTGGTGGAGAAACAGTGTGAGGAGCAGATAGTGGCCCAGCAGGAGCAATTCCACAACCAGATTCAAGTGAGTTTGATTCATATTTACTGCAGTGGAGGCGGCCGTGGTGTTAGTCCCTACATTACAGGTTGAGCACTTGATCACTTGACATTCCGTTACTCATCGATTTGCTCGAGTGGGCGCTAGTAACGTCTCCGTTCGTCCCTGTCTCATGCTAGTGTAGCCCAATGGCTTCTGCTCACCCCAGGAACACAAAGAGCCTCAAGCCTTTCATTCAGGATCTTGATGAAGAAGTCTGACCATTTCGTAGGTGGGCAGCCACGTGATCGTTTGACGTTCCGTGGAATCCAGCCGGTAACGGCTCTAATCCAGTGGTTGTCTCCAAATCACATTATGTGTCCAGCCCATCTGATTTTCGATGCCTTGGCAAACAAGATAGCGTCCCTGATTCTCGATCGTCCATGAAGGTCGGAACTCCAGATTCCTTCTCTCACTTGAGTGAAGCGTGATACTCCAAGCATAGCTCTTTTTTTTTAAATTTTATTTATTTATTTATTTGCTCTTTGGGTCACATCCGGCAATGCACAGGTGTTACTCCTGACTCTGCACTCAGGAATTATTCCTGGTGGTGCTCAGGGGACCATATGGGATGCTGGGAATCGAACCCAGGTCAGCCGCATGCAAGGCAAACGCCCTACCAGCTGTGCTATCGCTCCAGCCCCCAAGCATAGCTCTTTTGATTCCTCTTTGGGAGACCCAAATAGTGTTCTCATCCTGTTTTCATAGGGCCCAGGTCTTTGAGGTGTATGTTAATGTAAGATGAACGGTGGAGTCAAAGAGATGCGCCCAGAGCCGGAGGTTCTTCATCCTCTTAGCTATTTCTTCGACACTCTTGAAGGCGTTCCATGCCGTTCTCTTCCTCCCATGCAACTTAGGTGCCAGGTCATTCGTCATGTTGAGTTCTCAACTAGGTATACATAACTGCTGCATTCAGAGATGTTTGTTCTGTTGAGAGCAAATGGAACATCAGGAATGAGTCTGTTTCTCATGAACATTGTCTTCGTGAGATTCAGCTGCAGTCCAACCTTTCCACATTCACGGTCAGAGTCAGCCAGCATTTGTGCCGCTTGGCTAATGTTTGGTGTTATTAGAACAATGTCATCAGCGAAGCGGCGGTGGTGTAGTTGCCGACCATCTATCTTCACTCCCATTCCTTCCCATTCCAGTCATCGCATGACATTCTCGAGGGTGGCACTGAAGAGTTTCGGTGAAACGATATCACCCTGCTGAACCCAACTCTTTACATTGATGATCACTTCCTTGTAGAATGGTGAGACTCTGTTAGAGAATCTGTAATACAGCTCATGGAGGATGTACTGATGTATTGAGTTTGAACACCCTGTTAGGCCAGGGCTTCAATGACCGCTTCAGTCTCAACAGAATCAAAGGCTTTCTTTAAATCAATAAACGTTAGACAGAACAGCATCTTAAACTCCCGAGAAACCTCAATGAGCTTAGTTACCTTGTGGATATGGTTGATCATGCTGAATCCTTTTCGGAACCCGGCTTGCTCGCATGTTTGTCCTTCATCTAGTGTTCTGCCAATCCTATTCAGGATGACTCGAGTGAACAGCTTGTAGACGATGGACAACATGCAGATCGGGCGATAGTTGCCAGTGTCGTGGATGTCTCCCTTCTTGTACAGTAGAACAGTCCTGCTGGTTTTCCACTGGGACGGAACCTTACATTCAGACAGGTAGCGTGTGAAGAGCCGACCTAGTGTATTAATGAGTACTGATGGCAGATTCTTCAGGTGTTCGGGTCTGACCTTGTCTGGGTGAGTGCTGTTTGCTTCTTTACCAATGAAATGGCATGTCGGATTTCGGAAAGGAGAACGTTGGAAATGACATTTCCATCCTGCGGAATTTGGTATGTGGGCAGGTGGATGTGGCTATCGAAGAGATCCGAGTAGAAGTAATGGATAATCTCCTCCATTGCCGTTCTGGAAGATGTGATAGATCCATCAGGACGTCGGATGGCAGTCATCTTGGTCTTGTAGTTGGTGAAGGACTGGCGGGTGTTGCGAATTCTTTTCCCGGCTTCTGCTGCATTTGCCAGCACTGCTGCTCTTCTCTCTTTGAGGTCTTCCTTTATCGCTTCTCTTCACTGCTTTGTGGGCTCGAACATTAGCTTGTGGTTGCCTGAGGCTCGCTCCTAGACACATTGGCGAATGAGCTCGAGAGTTTTTGAAGACAGGTGTCTTTTTGTGGCTTTTTCTCCCTCAGCGTTCCTTGCACAATCATGAAGGTGCTGAACCAGTCGATCGTATTCTTTATCAACGAAGGCATCTTCCCATGTTGCCACAATAGTGCCAAAGAGCTCCCAGTTGGTGATTGTTCTGGGAGTTCTCTTCTTAAACTTTGCAGTCCTTTATTCCCGCTCCGTGAAGTCACTGTCACTTTCCTCCTGTTGTTCATCGATTTTCTCGAGTGGGCCCAGTAACGTCTCCATTGGAGACTTTTTGTTGTTACTGTGTTTGGCATATCGAATACATCACAGGTAGCTTGCCAGGCTCTGCCGTGTGGGTGAGATACTCTCGGTAGCTTACCGGGCTCTCCGAAAGGAACGGAGGAATTGAACTTGGGTCGGCCATGTTGGCTGCGTGCAAGGCAAACGCCCTACCGCTGTGCTATCGCTCCAGCCCCTGAAGTAGAATTTTGCATGAAGGAGATGGTGGTCCGATCCCATTTGGAATTTTGGGACAGCAGCGACATTGGTCAGACAAAACTGTCGATTAAATATGATGTGGTCAATTTTGTTGTGGAACTGTCCACCGGGAGACTCCCATGTCCAACGTTTAGATTTGGCCTTCTGGAACTGTGAGTTACCATGAATGGTCTTGGTCGACATGATGAACTCAAACAGTTTCACCCTGTTCGTTCCATTCTAGGACATGGGTCCCGATGTGGAGTTATTTGACCGATCTTTTCGGTTCTATCTTGGCATTAAAATCACCGACAGTGATCTTGTAGAAGGTTTGGTCTTCTTTATAGAACTTCTCCAGCTCCATGTAGAACTTCTCAATTTCTTCTTCGTCATAATTGGATCTTGGTGCATAGACAACGAAGATAGAAACTGACGGCAGCAAGCCACATCTATTCGAGTGTAATCGTCTGATTTGGGTTGTTAGGCATTCGAATGAATCAGTGCTCATGGCCAAGTTCGTGTTGACAAGGACACTGACACCAACCTCGTCTTGGTCAGACCATTGATGTCGTACTTGATCTTCCGTGCTTGCACTATCAAGTCCTTGGTGGATGCTTCCGATGCCAGCATACATGCATTGAAACTATAGACAGTCTTTTAGTTTCTTTTTTGTTTTGGCAGACTAGTTTGGCCCTGAGATTTTATCAACCTCTCCTTGCTCATCCTTCTTTACGCTGCTGTATTAGGGGCTCTTCTGGGGTCAGGGGAATGAGATCCATTGTATTTACTGTTTTTGGGATATCACATACGCCTTGGATAGCTTGCCAGGCTCTGCCATGCAGACGGGACACTCGGTAGCTTGCCAGGCTCTCTGAGAGGGAGATTACAGATTACAGTTGATTATTTGATAAGATTCACAGAAGGCCTGACTAATACTTCATAACTCAGTACTTCACATATATAAGCTTTGGTTTATAAATGAAGATAATGGGCTACCTTTGAGTGATTTGTTTTTCTCTGGGTGCGGGAAGTGCTACAGGCACTTACACATACAGAACATGTACTCTGCCCTGCGCTGCCGGCAGCTAGTCTCCGTCTCTGTCTCACATGTCTCTGTCCCCTTTCTTACCCAAATCTTTAATTTTATTTTCAGCGAATACAGGAGGAGATAAAAAATTTAGTCAAGTTACAGACCAATAATGCTTCCTGGGCGACTTATGGCAGTTCTTTAAGTGCACCGGTGCCTGCAGAAAGTCCAATGGGTTTTTTCCCGGATCCCAGTGAGAGAAATGAAGCAATTCTCCCCTACCCTGCGCCCGACAAGCCTGAAATGCACCAGGAAACGCCCAGCTCGCAGGCTGACTGCAGTGCCGAGGGCAGCTGCGTGAGCAGCGGCTATGGAACCTGCACCTCCGAGCTAAACGCCAATAAGGCCGGGGCCTCGAGACACCTCATGGAGCATGAGGCGGAGTCTGCAGGACCCTGTGGGGCGGCAGGGGACCAGGCTGAGCCCTGCCAGCCGCACACAGACTGTGGACACGGCAGGGGCGACCACCCGCAGGCAGCCCAGGGCCTCTCCGTAGGTGCCTCTCTCTTTCCCGGGGAACTGGAACATGATTTTCTTGGAAAAAGTCAAATTTCAGAAGTATACAGTGGGAAAAAAAATAGGTGAGTAGGTTTTCTCTATTATGTCAAGGAAATTTAGTTTATTAAATAAAGAAGCTCTCAGTTAATTTTGGTTTTGGGTCACACCCGACAATGCTCCGGGGTGACTCCTGGCTCTGCACTCTGGAATCACTCCTGGTGTTGTTCAGGGGACCCTAAGGGATGCCGGGGATGAACCTGGGTTGGCCGCGTGCAAAGCAAACGCCCCACCTGTTGTACTGACTGTTGTTCTGGCCCATTTGGGGCCTTTCAGTGAATGCTGAGCTGTGGCATAAAGCAGATCGCCTTTGGAGAGTGGAGGTTACCCTGATGTTCAGTTTTGTGTCTCCTAAATGTGCCATCTGAAGTATTTCCCTCTAGCTAGCATGATCGTTAGTGACTACAAACGCATGTAAATGAACACTTTCTCGGTGAGGATTTGTTTTGTGCTGGATGAGTCCTTGATAATGCCACAGTTCCAGGCTGTGCATGTGTATCACTGTTAGTCTCTTTGTTTCTTTAATAAGCCCTGAAAACCCTGTGAATCAGTTAGATCTCCCCTCCGAGCCCTTAGGTAGACACAGAACATCTTCCTCTGATTCCGTAGCTGCTGATCTTCCTGTGTGTGTTTCAAGGACAGCCTGCAAGAGAATAATTTTTTTTTCTTTTTCAGTAATAAAGCTATAACATCGTGGGCACAAAAACTGAAACAGAACCAGCCAAAGCGAGTACACTCGGGAGAGGGCTGTTCCCGGCCAGTGCAGGCCGGCCAGCAGGTAGCCGGGCCACTGTATGTGCGTGTGTGCACGTGTGACCACTCATGGGTGCCTGTGTATGTTTGTGTGTATGTATGTGTGCACTCATGTGTGTGCATGTGTGTGCGTGTGCTTGTGTTTATGTTGTTTGTATGTATCCACTCGTGTTTGTATGTGCATGCATGCATGTGCTCATATATTTGTGTGTGCCCATTCCTGTGTGTATATGTATGTCCGTGTGTGTATGCGTGTGTGCATGCATGGGTGCCTGCCCCCTGCAGCAGGGGCGGCGGTTGTGCTGTGCTGGAAGCTGGTTCCCTGGGCCCCCCTGGTGGGACACAGTGACCTGCTCCAAGTCAGGTCCTCAGTAGGGAGTCCTAGCACCTACTTGAAGGTGCACATGCTTGGCAGTGATGCGTGTGATGCTTCTGCGGAAAGCCTCGGATGGGGATGTAGTTGGGGCCAGAACACTGCAGGCTGGAGGGCCTGTTCTGGTCTCAGCAGTGGTTGTCCCTGAGCTGTGGCCGCCATCCTGTGGAGCTGTTAGTGAGGAGGTCTCCCTGTTGGAGCCGCGGGCCCATGCCAGGCCCTTACCACACCCTTGCAGCCTGTGCCGTGGACCCCCTGCCTGTGGCTTCCACCCTTGGGCCAGTCAGTCCCTCCCCTCCCCTCTCCTGGGAAATGACAGTCTATTTATTTATTTATTTTTGGGATCACACCCGATGATGCTCGAGGGTTACTCCTGGCTCTGCACTCAGGAATTACTTCTGGTGGTGCTTGGGGGACCCTATGGGATGCCGGGGATCCATCCCAGGTCAGCCGCGGCAAACGCCCTCCCCACTGTGCTATCACTCTGGCCCTCTTTGTCTAATTTTTTAACCAATGTACTTGTTTTTATGAGTCACTGTGAGGTGCAGAGTCACTCCTCAGCCAGTCCCTTCTCCAGTGCCCACTTCCCTTCCCGTCCCCGCACCAGCATCGTGAGCCCAGACCCCGCGGCCCGCTGACCACGCTCTCTCTCGGTTACAGTCTGACCTCCCTGCTGCTGCTCGTCCTCCTGCCTTTTACCTCAACAAGCCCGAGGAGCTTCCCGACGCATGGCTGTCCGACTCGGGAGCAGGTATGGTGCCAGAGACCGGGCCGGCCTTGGTTGCGCAGGATGCACTCTGGAGCTCAGGGTTCACTCCTCTCTCTCTTCTGGCTTTGTTGGGGGCCACAGCTCTCAGTGTTCGGGGCTACTCTCAGCTCTGCACTCGGGGACTCACGGTCTCCCACCCCCCACTGGACTCGGCACCAGCCAGGATGCAGGAGCCCCGAAGTGTTCTTGAATCACTTCACTCTTGATACGTTTCTAAATATTATTCATAAGAAAATGGCCATATTTAAAAACGTTTTCATTGTCCTCATTTATCTTTACTTTTAATTATCCGGTATTTGTGTTTTGAGCATTGGAGTCATTAATTAGTAAGGCATTTCTGAGAATCTTAAGATTTCAACTTTTGTACCCCATAGCCAAAACCTACTTTCTGTCTGTCTTTTTGTCTGTCTGTCTTTCTGTCTGTCTGTGTTGTTTTGTTTATTTGCTCATTGTCCATGCCCCACAGTGCTGAGAGGCTCCTCCTGGCAGTGCTTGGGGGACCAGGTGGCGCAGGGTTTGAACTGGGCTTAGCTGCGTGTGAGGAAGTTGCCTCCCTGGCCTCTCCTCTAGCCTTGGCGTCACCCTAGGGAGTGTCTTTGTTCTTTCTGTGCGCACCAGGGCTGCTGTACTGGAAGCTGGAGGAGAAGGACATGTACCACTCCCTGCCTGAGACTTTCGACAGGTCCCTCGCACCCCCCACAGCTTGGTGCCCAAGCCAGGTAATTGGGACATGCACTGTGGCAGCGAGATGGCTCAGGGCTGGGTGCATGGGAGCCCAGGCTGCTGAATGTGGCTCTGAAACCGGAAACAAGTAAAGAGACAAATAAATGTCCCATGGAGCCAGGCGGAGCTCAGCAATGCAGTAGTTGCATGTGTGAGGCCCCGGGTTCAGTCCTCAACACGCTGCACAAGCACATATATGCATGCACGTGCGCACACACACACACGCACGCACGCACGCACGCACACCCCCCACCCTGCACTTCAGCCCCCTGCATGTACATACACACGTACACAATGCACATGCGCACACATGCACACACACACACATGCACGCACACAATGCACACATACACAACACACGCACACACACAACATGCGTGTGCACACACAATGTATGCACACACACACATCTTCAGCATCCTGCACACACAGATACAATAATAAAATTCAGTAAGAGGAAACACACTTGCATGTGAATTTGTATTACAGTTTTAGTTAAGCACGCTATTTGTAAATCTTTCTGTTTTCTATCTTTTGTATATTAAGATATAGGCTTAAAGTTATAATTACCTGCTTTCAAAATCAGTTTACGGAGCCATAGCACAGCGGGTGAGGCTGCTCTGTGCTGTCTCTCGGCTCCTGCACTGTCCCCTTCCCTCCTGCCTCAGGATCGCAGCTCTTGACCTTTCCTCTCGGTCCTTTGACGTTCATCTGCCCAGATGCTCTCTCCTCCTACTTCAGGCTTTCACTGTCAATTCTCCTCTTTTTTTTTTCTTTTTGGGTCACACCGGCGATGCACAGGGGTCACTCCTGGTTTTGCACTCAGGAATTATTCCTGGCAGTGCTCAGGGGATCAAATGGGATGCTGGGAATTGAACCCAGGTTGGCCACGTGCAAGGCAAACACCCTACCCGCTGTGCTATCGCTCTGGTCCCTTAATTCTTCTCTTAACTCAGCTCTTAGTTCTTATTTTGGACAGGAGCTCCCAGGGGTCTAATTTTGGAAACTTCCCAGGTTGCTTGATAAATTAGGTTTAATTTACCCCCTTATTTTTTGCTGTTAGATTGGAACAATTTCTCATCTCAGGGAGACGCACAGACTCTGGCGTCCCAGCTTGGTCATCAAGTTGACAGTTGAGAGTTTTGTTTTATTAAAACCTTTCAAAATCTTTTTAAGTGCTGATCTTAGTATCAGTAAACTTTTCTCATTGATTATACCATTTAATTCTGTTTCATATTTTCTAAGTTTAATGCTAGTAATGAGATGAAGCTACCATCACTGAAGGATATTTATCATAAAAAACAAAGGGAAAACAAGCAGTTTCCGGAGAGGGATCTCACTTGCGCTTCCCACCCAAATCACCCACCAGAGGTAAATTGTGGGCGCTCTGCCGAGGGGCCGGGCCACTTCCTGGACCTGTTTTCCCAAGGAGCCATTCTGCTCGTGTAGGGAGCAGCCGGTCGGGCGCTGAGGCGAGTGCCCGTGCTCTGTCTTGCCCACAGGTGCTGACTCTGGACCCCTCGGCTCATGGGAAGCCCAGCTCCCGCGGCGCCCTCGAGGACCGGACATCCTCCTCGCCTGACTCAGTGCTGGGGCCCACTCTCTCCAGCCACTCTGACATCGACTCATTTTCACAAGCAAGTCACGTCACGTCCCAGTTGTCTGGATTCCCCAAGTCTCCATCCCACTTGAAAACCTCGCCGGGGGACCCCTGGGAAAGCCACACCTTCCAGAACGAAAGTAGGACCAGTTCCGCCTTCGCTTCTGTGTACACCGCTGCGAGCAGCGACGTCTCGGTGAACACCGTGGAGGGAGCCACCACGGCCACGTGCCCATCGGTCTCCGTCCGCCAGTCCCCGCTCCTGGCTGTGCCAGCTGAGCGCATCTCCTCAGCACCCCCAGGGGACCCTGTGCTCATGTCTCAGTACGTACCTCACGAGCCGGCCACCGCAGGAGCTTACAGGATGGAAGTGGTTTTTATTGAGCTTCTTCAGTTAGATGTAAAATCTTAGCACTTGCTCTGTTTTTGGGCCAAGCCCAGTGATGCTCAAGGGTTCCTCCTCCTTTATACTAAGGAATCACTCCTGGCGGTGCTCTGGGGACACTCTGGGATGCCGGGGATGGAACCCAGGTTGAACAGGTGCAAGGCAGACGCCCTCCCTGCTATACTATCATTCCTAAGAGAGAATTTTTAATGTATAGCATCTAGCGAATGTGTATTGTTAGCCTGTTGCATATTGATCTATGATACATTAAGCGAATGTCTACTTCTCCTTGTGAGTGATGTGGTGTCAGTGTCTCCAGGGATAGGCTGTGAGGTTGTACTTTCCCACAGGATCAGGCAGACCCTGAAGGAGAAGCACGCTCGGCATGTTGCAGATCTTCGAGCTTACTATGAATCGGAAATAAATAGTTTGAAACAGAAACTGGAGGCAAAGGAAATCTGTGCAGCTGAAAATTGGAAGAAAACCAATCAAATTCTTATAGATAGGTAAAATTGTGTTTTATTTTAAAGCCCCATGGGACGGTGCTCAGTGATAACTCCTGGCTCTGCACTCAGGGTTCATTCCCGGCGGGGTGATGGGGATTGAACCTGGCTTTGCCGCGTGCAAGGCAGGTGCCCTCCCTTTCCACTGTGCTGTCATTCCAGTCTTCAGAACAGGTGAAACTTGACGTTGTTGTCCTGACATTGTGATGATAGGACACTTCGATTTTTTTTTTCCTTTTTGGGTCAAACTGGCGATGCTCAGGGGTTAATCCTGGCTCTGCACCCAGGAGTCACTCCTGGTGGTGCTCAGGGAACCCCATGGGATGCCAGGGATGGATCCCAGGTTGGCTATGTGCCAGGCAAATGTTCTCCCTCCTGGACTATACTCCAGCCCCTGAGAGGACACTTTGAAAACATGGGCTTTAGATTTGAAAATTTTAGCAGAAACTTTGCCTAATGTTTTGTTTTGGTTCTGGGAATCCAGGCCTAATACCTAAGGAACAGGCCTTCTGTTGACAGACCATATACCTCTGTCTCCTCACAGTGGGAACCGTTCTTTTCCGGGCGGAGGGCCGCATCAGTCTGAGCCCTTCGGCAGGCTGGCATCTCTGTAGGCCCCCGTCACAAGCAGGTTTCCCGCTGCTTTTACTGGTTTCTGAGCCACGTGCAGCTGACTGCTCAGGGTCACTCAGGGAGCCGTATTTTTGCTGCTGGGAATCGAACTCGGGTTTGCTGTGTGCAAGGCAAGTGCCCTGCCCACTGCGCACTCTCTGGTTCTGCTTCTGTCTTTTGGCTCTTGTAGAGAATGTGGGGTTTATATAATACTTTCGAGAGAAATACTTTGTGTGTTTATTTTTAATTTTTGGGGGGGGTTCACACCTGGCAATGCTCAGGAGTTACTTCTGGCTCTGCACTCAGGAATTACTCCTGGCGGTGCTCCAGGGACCATATGGGAATCCAACCCAGGTCAGCCACGTGCAAGGCAAACGCCCTACCCGCTGTGCTATCTCTCCAGCCCCTGTGTGTTTGTTTATTTTGTGGGCCACACCCGGCCCGCTCTGTGCTCAGGAATCACTGCCGGTGGTGCTCAGGGGACTCTATGGGATGCCGGGGATCAAACCCAGGTTGGCCGCAGACAAGCGCCCTCCCTATCTGCTGCACTCTTCCTCCAGGCCCAGAAATGCTTTTAATCATTTTGTTTTAATTTATGGTTTTTAGATGTGGCCAGTTAGATAGTGCTCTGAGTGAAGCCACTGGTCGTGTGAAAACCCTCGAAAATAAGAATAACTTACTGGAAATAGAAGTGGTGAGTCCCCACATTCTGTCACTGTGGTTTGGATGGTCTTAATGCAGATCTGGGCCCTAAGGGAGCTCGGGTGCGGGCCGTTGCAGGGAGGCGGGTTCCGTCCCCGGTAGTGACACTGCTGGGAATCACCCTGATAAGGAAAATGAAGTCTTTGATACAGGTGTCGGTTTCCAGGCATGGAGTACGCACTGGCTGTGCCTGGGGCTCCCTGCATGTGGGTGGACTGTATGTTCTCTGGCCCTCCTCTCCCGTGGGGGCAGGCCACACTGTCTCAGGACTTACTCTGGCTCTGAGCTCAGGGGTCACACCTGATGTAGTATAGGGGACCACCTAGGCGCTGGGGCTCAAGCCGGGCGGGCTACTTGTAAGGCAAGTATCTCACCGCTGTACTTTCTCCCTGGCCCTTCACCTCTCTCGTTTAATTTTTTTTTTCTTTTTTGGGTCACACCCGGCAATGCACAGGGGTTACTCCTGGCTCTACACTCAGGAATTACTCCTGGCAGTATTTGAGGGACCATATGGGATGCTGGGAATCGAACCTGGGTCAGCTGCTTGCAAGACGAATGTCCTACCCGCTGTGCTATCGCTCCAGCCCCTCTCATTTTCAATTTTTTAAATTTGATTTGAGGTTTGGGGTCATGCCCAGTGGGGCCAGATGCTATTCCTGGCTTTGTGCTCAGGAGCAGTGACTGCTGGTGGTGCTGGGGGGACCCACATCTGGGGATAGGACTGAGCCCGGTCAGCAGGAGGAAGGCCCGCTCCCTCATCCTGCATGCTCTCCCCCTTTCTGTCTCCCCGTTTCCCTCCTCCCTTTTGTCCTTTCCCGCCCTCCCTCCCTCCCTCCCCCCTGCCTTCTCTCCTTCTCTCTCTCCCTCTCTCACTGTCTCCCTCCCTCTCTTCCTCTCTCCCCCTCTTGTTTTTTTGGGTCACATCCTGCGATGCCCAGGGGTTCCCCCTGGCTCTCTCAGGAATTACTCCTGGCGGTGCTCTGGGGACCATATGGGATGCTGGGAATCGAACCCGGGTCATCCACATGCATGGCTGGCGCCCTCCCTGCAGTCCTGTCACCTTGGCCCTAAGAGCTGCCTGGGCCATGCGGCGGCTGCATGGGGATTGTCCGGAGCAGCAGCCACAGTTGTGCTTCTCCTCACCGAGATGCTCTCGAGGCCACCCAGGGCTGCAGCACTTCCACGGGGCTCGTGGCACCACGCAGAAATCCCAGCAGCACCTCCGGTGTCTCCATGGAGAGAGCTGGGTCTGGGATGTGTTGGTGGGGTGGGTGGGGTGTCCCCCGCACGGGGCCTGTATGAAACCCTGGGTCCCACCCCCAGCGCGGGGGCCTGTGTGAAGGCCCAGGTCCCATCCCTGGTCCCGCAACCAGTTTTGTAGTTTTGTTGCTGACTTTTGTTGGCATGCTTTGTTTTACGATGCTGCCTTTGGATCTTAATCCTGCAGTTTGGCAACTGTTTTTGAGGCATTTTTTTTTTAATTAAAAACAACCCATTTCCCTTTCCTTCCCCCCTGTAGAGTGACCTTCGAGACCGCTTCCTTGCCGCCAGCAGCGCCTCCACGGTGCTGCAGGAGCGGATCGAGGAGATGCGGGCCAGCAGCAAGGAGAAGGACGGCACCATCCTGCGGCTGCAGGCCCGGCTACAGGACGTGGAGGAGGCGTTCGAGAGCGCGTACCGCCTCTCCGACGACAAGGAGGCCCGGCTCCGGCAGGAGGCCAAGATGTTCCAGGACGTGAGCGCGGGCGACTCACATGGGTGGGGCGTCGTATACCCCGTGTACTTAGGGCCCGGCGCCCTTGCTCTGATCGCTTCGTTCTGTCTTGGGTTTTGGGCCACACCGGCTGCACTCAAGGCTTACTCCTGACTGCACTCTCCTGAGTACTTCGGGAACTGTGCGGGGTCTGGCACTCTCTCCAGCTTGACCGCATGGTATTCTGATCTGATACCTGATTTGGGGTTTTGTATTTCTATTTTGCTACTAGCTTAATAAAAAGTAGCATTCAGCAGTTCTCACCCTTTCTTTTTTTTTTTTTTTTGGCTTTTTGGGTCACACCTGGCAATGCACAGGGGTTACTCCTGGCTACTCCTGGCTGCTAGTTCTGCACTCAGGAATCACCCCGGCGGTGCTCAGGGGACCATATGGGATGCTGGGAATTGAACCCAGGTTGGCCGCATGCAAGACAAACGCCCTACTCACTGTGCTATTGCTCCAGCCCCTCTTACCCTTTCAAATGCTTTTTATTTAGGGGTACGATTGGCTCATTAAAGTACTTTTCTTTTTTTTTTCTTTTTTTTTTTTTTTTGAGTTTGGGTCACACCCAGCGATGCTCAGGGGTTACTCCTGGCTCTGCACTCAGGAATTACTCCCAGTGGTGCTCGGGGGACCATAAGGGATGCCAGGGATCGAACCTGGGTCGTCCGTGTGCAAGGCAAATGCCCTACCTGCTGTGCTATCACTCTAGCCCCTTCTTTTTTTTTTTGTCACACCCAGTGATGCTCAGGGGTTCAGGGGTCCCTCTCGGCTCTACTCTCAGGAGTTACTCCTGGCAGTGCTCAGGGGACCATTTGGGATGCCAGGGCTCCAGCCCAGGTTGGCAGTGTGTGCGGGAATGCCCTCCCCGCCATACTATTGCCCTGAACTCCTCACTTTTTATTTTGAAATAAACCTACAAAACCTACAAAGTTTGAATGAACTTGTAACACTTACTCTGCCTGGGATTCAGCAGCTCTTCGCATCTCGCTCGGGGGCTCGAGGTTGCCTCAACGGTAGATCACCTGCCCCAGGCTCAGGCCTGACACCACGTGGCCCCCAGAGCTGCTGGGAGTGACCTCCTGATGGGAGTCGTCAACCGCAGGAACAAATGCCCAGATCAGGCATTTTTCTGTTTTGCTGCTTGATTTTCCTCCTCTCTGTTCACACGCCCTTTCGGGCCTGCCGGGGTGTCTGCTGGGCAGGCCCTTCCCCCAGCACTGCACGGCTGGCACCAGCCTCCAAGGAAAGAAATCAAGGGGCTCTTTAGGGCTCTGTCCTAGACCAGCCGATCCATGGGGACCCCGCGTGGGGCTGTGACCCCGACACAGCCGGTCTTTTTTTTTTTTAGACTTAACAAATTTTTGTGCTTGGGTTTCAATTATACAATGATCAACAGTTGGTCTTTTTGGTATCTTCCCCTTGCCAGGCCGGGATCCAGCCCGACCCCTCAGGTTACCCTCTCTGATCTCGTCACTGTCGTTTATTTATTTCCCCATCTGTTCACGCTGGGGTGCCGGGACAGACCTGAGCTCTCGTGGGGGCGTGGTGTAGGCTGTCCCGTGGAGACTCGCCAGCCTGTCGATGTCACCGCCCTCTTAGCCCTTCTCTTTCAGACCAGCCCTCAGTCCTGCCTCTGTCTTTGTTTTTTCCCGTAGCTTTTGTTAGAATATGAGTCTCTCGGGAAGGAGCACGAGAGGGTGAAGGTAAGGAGCACTGTGGGGCTCTGGGCTACCTTGGGGGCCGGGGTGGCACTGGACATCTAGAAAGCCAGAAGCTCTCCTCTGTCCCCTTCCAGACATCCTAGGTGTCTGCCCATCTAACTTGCACGTGCTCTGTTTTTGTTTTGGGGTCACACCCAGCAGTGCTGCGGGGTCGCTCCTGATGGTGCTCGGGGGACATACGGGGTGCCGGGGATTGAACCGGTGTCACCTTACCCGCTCTACTGCCGCTCTGCCCCTAATTTGCAACAATTTTTGCATGACTTTTTGAATTATGGACTGGCTATTTGAGATGAGATGAAATATTTGGAGGAACGTAATGGCAGCCGCGGAGAAGAAGATAGTGCTCAAATACTATTCAAAAAGGAAGTCTTCTTTTTTGAAGCACTAGCCTGTTAGGTTGGGTTTGACGTTACTATGTGTGTATTCTTACGTAAAACTGAGAATCACGTATTTGAATTCTGTGAAACCCCATAAACAGGTTCAGGAATTTGGGACTGTTTGCGGTTAGTCACATGCCTGCAAGGCTGGGGACGGGCCCAGGGTCCCTCATGCTCTCCTCAGTGTATGTCCATTTTAATGTAGTCTTTTTATTTTTTTCTATTTGGGTCACACCCAGTGATACACAGGGGTTACTCCTGACTGTGCACTCAAAAATTACTCCTGGCGGTGCTCGGGGGACCCTATGGTATGCCCGGGATTGAAGCTGGGTCAGCTGCATGCCAGGCAAATGCCCTCCCTGCTGTGTTATGCTCCAGCCCCAGTGTGGAGCATTTTGCCGAGTGCCCATGACCCAGCACAGCCCAGCAGCCTCGGCCAGGGGCATGTGCTCGGGCTCTGCCGTGCGCTTTGGGCTTATTTTGCTCTCATTTCCTCTTGAATCACCTCTGATGCCTGTTTTTGGTCCCACACCCAGTAATAAACTCCTTTTTTAGCTCTCTGCTGTTGCCTTAGAATTGTTTCATGCATTTGAGGGCAAAGTAGTACATGTTAACATTCATCTTCAGTAATTGGAGGCTTTGCTTTGTTTTTCTAGGAAACCTTGAACACAACTGAGAACAAGTTGCTTGACGCGCGCACCCAGATCTCTGATTTAAAAAGGTAAAGCATCCCACGGGCAATGGTTTGCTCAGTGCTGGTGCGTGTCTGTGATGGGGGGAAAGAGTGGGGGAGGGGTCTTGCAGGCAGCAGGGCGGGGCCCAATCCACTCAGTGGCCTCCGGGTTCACATCGATCTGGGGTCTCTCCATGCAAGGGGTGCGCCCTTGACCCCGTGAATGGTCTCCCTGGCCTTGAGATTGATTTCACCCTAATTTTTCCCTGACACGAAAATAACATTTTAGGGATCAGAGCAGAAGCACAGCAGGAAGGACACTTATCTTGCATGTGGAAGACCCAGTTTTAATCCCCAGCATCCCACATGGTCCCCCGATCCCACAGACATGATCCCTGAGCACAGAACCAGGGAGAACCCCTGAAGTGTTACCAGGTGTGGCCTCAAAACAAACAACCTTTGCCTGTGATAAAATCCTTTTTTGTTTTATTTTTGGGTTACACCTGGCAGTGCTTAGGGCTTATTCCTGGTCCGTACTCGGGGATCAATCCTGGGGACCACACCTAACAGAAGGCTTTTGTGTGACTTAATTATACTGGTAGTTGTGTCTGGAGTCCTGCCGTCTCCGTGGCCCTATGTGCTTCTCTGAGAAGGTCAAATATAAATGGTATGTCATTACAGTGAATGTAATGTTAAGCGACAGCCTTACTTCCGGAACTGTTCAGGATCCAAGAAGAATGCAGCATTCATTCCTATCAGCCGGATCATTTACATTATGTTTGGTTTCTGGGTCATTCCTGGTGTTGCTCAGGGGCCACATATGTGGTGGGCCCTGCCTGGACCCTGAATGAGCACTTGCCTTGGGTACCTCGCCTACTCAGCATCGCTCCTGCCCCGCCGCCTTTTTTCAAAGAGATGTGCTTTAGGGACCACGTTCATTATGTGATTTTCTTAGTCAGGTGGGAGCAGAGCCATCAGTGAACGGTCCTCATGCCCACAGCGGGCCCTCTTGCAGGGCCTTTCCTTGGGGTGACGCCAGCCCTCTGGGCGGGCAGCTCGGGCCCAGCTCACTTGCTCCTGTCTCTCTGAAGTGCTCTAGGCCCTGGCGTCAGCTTTCTCGCCTACTGGCATCACCACTAGCGTGACCGCAGAGAGCCCTCTCACCAGGGATCAGGGGAGGGACTGAGCCTGGCATGAGCAGGGCAGAGATCTACCACCACGGTGGCCACATCTTGTCACTGCTCCCCTGAGCGCAGAGCCGGGAGTAAGCCCTGTGACTGCAGCAGACCAGACAGGAGGAGCTGAGGTGTCGGGGCTCGGCGTGGGGGGCCGGAGGGCGTGCTGGTTGGCCAAAAGTACCTCTTGTGGTGAACTTTAAAATAGTTAGGGGCCGGAGCGATAGCACAGCGGGTAGGGCGTTTGCCTTGCACACGGCTGACCCGGGTTTAATCCCCGGCATCCCATATGGTCCCCTGAGCACTGCCAGGAGTAATTCCTGAGTGCAAAGCCAGGAGTAACCCTGAGCATTGCTGGGTGTGACCCAAAAAGGAAAAAAAATAAAATAAAATAGTTATATTTTAGATATGGCACTGATTAGCTAGGCTGCCTGGGCTGGAGTGATAGCACAGCGGTAGGGTGTTTGCCTTGCACGCAGCCAGCCTGGCCGAGCCAGGTTCGATTCCTCTGCCCCTCTCGGAGAGCCTGGCAAGCTACCGAGAGTATTCAATATGCCAAACACAGTAACAAGAAATCTCACAATGGAGTTGTTACTGAGCAAATCAATGAACAACGGGAGGACAGTGACACAGCTAGGCTGCCTATAGGAGGTGTTTTGGAAGAGCTTAGCTTTTTGCAGGAATTTAGCAGTTTCTAAAAGGAATTTAGTGACTCCTTTTTAATGGCTTTGTTTAGGACATTAAACCTGCCCCCCCCCGCCCCCCCCCCCCTGCTGTGAAGGTGTGGCCCTGTAGCTTCCACAGATGTGTGCGAGCCCCTGCTAGAGTGAGACAGCTCAGGGTCACCGTTTTCTTAGATCCTTACGTTATTTGGATTTTATTTTTGACTGTGTGTCTGATCTGTGATCAGGTTCTTGGGACTATTTCATTGTGCTCTTTGGAGCCGCTCTGCTGCCCGTGGAATTCAGTGGCTCTGCACCTCGTTCCCCGTGCGGAAAGTTCCGGGCACTGGGCCGCAGAGAGCTCAGTGCACCAAAGCAGGGGTGGCTCCTGCCCTCTCGCAGGGAGGGGCTGAGGAAGCATCGTTTCAGCCCTCTTCTAGAAGCGTCGCTTCAGATACATCATTTTCAGTTGGCTTACACTTTGAATCTCTTAAAATATACCTGATTTACCTTTCTGCTTTCCAATTAGAACAATTTCCAAACTGGAAGCTCAGATCAAGCAGGTGGAGCACGAGAGCCTGGTGGGTCTCCGCCGTCACCTCCGCGCCCCTGCGAGAGCCTCCTGCGCCGAGTAAGTCGGATCGGGGTGTCCTTCCGGGCCGTACCGGCTGCCCATCCGGCTCACCAGGAAGCCAGGGGGCCTCTCACGTACGCCTCGAACACAAAGCGACAGCAGGGCCTTGCCTTGCACGTGGCCAGTCTTGGGTGACCAGGGCCAAGGAGCGGCTTCCTCCCTCAAAAGGAGGAGTGCTAAATCAGGGTAGAAATGAGGAGACTTGGAATCTGTGGTTTTGGTTTTGGTTTGGTTTGGACCAGCTACGTAGCTGTAGACAAATTAGTTCATATTTTATAGCTGAATTGTCTGAAAAGATTTTTTAGTCCTAAACTTCCCAAAAATATTTTTACCTTTTTGAAAACTGATGAGTATTGTTTTTTCATGGGGTTGTATTGTATGGTCTCGCTGTTTTCCAGAGTGAGAAATAGAAGCTTATTGGAAAGTAGAAGAGAAAGGAAAAGTAACTTCCCCGAGTCGGGAGGAACTTAGTAGAGGACTGAGTTCTCTTTTTGGTATTTTTACATTTTGAGAATTAGTTTTCTTACGTTAGAGCATTTGTCTTAATATATTTATGGACTGGGCTGGAGCGATAGCACAGCGGGTAGGGCATTTGCCTTGCATGTGGCCGCTCCCATGAGGTGTGCGGCTGCTCCTCCCTGTCTGCACTCGACTCTGTTCTTCCCCGCGTCTCCTCACCCCCAGGACTGGTCTCCCTGCCTCTCGCACCCTCGCCGCCTCTGATGTCAGCAGGCGCAAGTGGCTGATTCCCGGGGCCGAGTACTCGATCTTCACTGGCCAGCCCCTGGCCCTCCAGGGTCAGAGAGAAGAGAACCCGCTGGAGAAAATCTCTGCTCCTGGGTAAGAAGACTTGCTCAGTGGGGCCAGGGATATGGTTCGGTTAGAGCATTAGAGCACTGATTGGAGCACTCACCTTTCTTTTGTTTTGCTTTTTGGGTCACTCCCGGCGATGCACAGGGATTCCTCCTGGCTCTGCACTCAGGAATTACTCCTGACGGGTCCCGGGGGACCATATGGGATGCTGGGAATCGAACCCGAGTCGGTTGTGTGCAAGGCAAACTCCCCCCCGCCTGCTGTGCTATCGCTCTAGCCCCTGCACTCACCTTTCTGTGTGAGATCAGGGTTTGATTCCTGGGGCCACTTACAAACAAATGAGAAAGAAAAGAACATTTTCATCCCTGATGGTACTTGGGAGCTTGTCATGTTCTGTGAAGATCCCGATTGCATTTAAATGGCCATTAAGTGTGCAGGGCCGCCTCGGTTTCCCTGAGAGCTTCACCCTGGAGACTAGAGGCTCAGGCTTTTGAGGGAGTTGGCTTTCGAGGGCCTGGTGCAGGCTGTGCCCTGCCCAGGCTGTGGCACACTTGTGGCGCCTCCGGGTTATTTCCTGTGTGTGCTGGGACGGGAAGCACTGCCAGTGTATTTGCATCGCAAAGATGTTATTTGGGGAATGTCATAGTCAGCTGGTGGCCCAGCGGCCAGCCCGTGGCTGCTCTCATGTCTTCCGTGGCCTGGATGGGTGACGCGGGCCTCTCCGCTGTGACTGCAGAGGGCTGACTCTGACCTCCGGCCCTGCTCTGGTGTCCTGCACGGGAACCTGGGCTCTGTCCCTGGGGTCAAGCCCGCACCCCGTCCTGGGCACCACCACTATGATTTCATCCAAACTTTATTGGCCCCAGGCTCCACGCAGGGTCCTGCCTGTGCCTGGCCACCCCTTTCAGAGCTATTCCCCCACAGGGACTCCCGGCCCGGAAGCCCGCCAACAACAGAACCGAGAGACACTGCAGACGGCCCAGTAGTGAAGGCGCTTAAACAGTTGGAGGAAGAAAAAACACTGAAAAATCTGGGCACACAGACAGACGATCCCTCCAATAGTAAGTCTCTTGTTGATGTTCTGGACTGGGGCCACTCCCATACTGTCGCCCCAGCCCCTCCAGATGTCTTTTGTAAAAAGAAGTCCTTGAGTAATTAAGTTAAAAACAATTTTTATTTTACTGCTTCTTCATCCCCATTTTCTAGATGATTACTGCTGATAATTTATCATACCGTGGTATAACATGTATTGTGGGGGCGGGGGACTGGTCAGGAACGGAACCCAAACCTCTGCGCGTTCTCTGTCGCTGAGCGAGTCCCCAGCCCGGGGTGGGACTGTGCCTTTCTTCTGGTGTGTGGCCACAGCAGAGGGTGCTCAGGAGCCACCCGAGTGGTGCTGGGGGTCGTTGTGCCGTGCCAGGATTCAGACCTGATGGCCAAGTTCCTGACCCTGTACTGGTCTCCAGCCCTGTGTCGCCGAGCCCCAGGCTCCTGACGGGTCTGGGACATGTCGCACCACTTGGTCCCTCACACCTGGGGATCTCCTGGCTGACGGTGGGTGTTTCCGCACTCCTGGTGCACCGCCGAGTGTCCTCTGTGCGGGGTCGTGGGCAGCCTGCATGCTCTGCTCAACACCCCCCAGCACCTTTGGGGTCCCCCGCTGGGCGGTTCCTCTTGGACACGTGTCAGTGCCCGGCTTTCTCCAATTGAGCTCTTGAGGAATCACCTGGAATACCAGTTGTAAAGAGAGAAGCAGAATACATTAATTTTAAACTCCCACGTTTTTCATAAGCATTTTGATTATGAGATTGTTACACATTTGCAAATAATTATAATCTAGGTAATAAAAACAATTGCTTGCTGAATGTAACCGTCTGTTAATAAAAGCAGATAATTGAAGCCTGGTTTGTTTTGTTTTCTTTTGGGGGGTAATTAACATTTCATTTTTCTTTTACAGAACCAGTCAGTTCTCATCTAACTGGAACTTCTGTCAGTGCGAGTCGGTCCCCCGAGAAATGCGCCCATCAGAGACAGAAGCGACAGAGCTCTGCTGCTCAGCGCTCGTCCTCTCTGCCGCCCTCCAGCCGCAGGTCCAGCCCTCCAGGTGGGGCCCCCCTTGGCCGGGGTGCAGGCTCTTTTGACACCACCCAGGCCGGCTCGGCCCAGTCCAAGCCAGCTGGGGGCGCTCAAGCCCTCAGGCCACAGCTCTGGACCCAGCACTGTTCTAGCCGGTTCTCTATCTGGAAGTGGGGACACTGGGACTGGGGAGATGGCACAGGGCTAAGGCATTTGCCGTGCACATGGCCAGCCTGGTCAGTCCCCGCTACTGCCTGCGGTTTCCCACAACACGCCAGGATGGATCCTGAGCGCCGCCAGCTGTGTGCCTGAAGTATTGGCTTTCTGGATCCTTGATTTTCCTTTTATTTTTATTTTTGGTCAGAGGCGGGGCGGGGGGGCACACCTAGCAGTGCTCAGGGTCCTCCTGGGGGTGCACAGGGGACCAGGTGGGATGTTGGGAATCAAACCCTGGCTGGCCACGTGCGAGACGAGCGCCCTCCTCGCTGTGCTCTTGCTTCGGCCCAGTTTGAGTTTCATAGAGCAGAGCCTTGTCTGTGAGCACACCATAGGAATGGCCGTCAGCACACTGGTGTTTCCACTCGATTTCCAGTCGACTTCTAAAATCCTGAAAAACCTGTTTTGAGTGAGTGCTGGAACTGCAGCTTATGTAGTGAAGTGCTAACGGTGGATCCCTCTAGGTGTAGGGTCAGGGATCATTTTATTCTGCATGCTCTTATTTTGTAAGATGTTTCACAGTGAAACTGTTTCTTTTAAGGTTAAAAAAAAAATATCAGCTGAGAAAATGTCTTCTGCCAATATATAACACATTATTATTTAGAAGGAAAAGAATATTCCCTCTTTTTTTTTTTTGCTGTAGCGAGAAGAGAGATCATGTTAACACCAGTGACTGCAACTTACAGTCCAAAGCGATCCCCTAAAGAAAATTTGTCTCCAGGATTTAGTCATCTACTTAGCAAAAGTGAAAACAGTTCCATTCGGTAAGTTCTATGAAATTGTAGATTGGAGCATCATACTATTGATTTTTAAATGTCTAATTTTTCAGTTGTCTCTGGATTTAGATCATTTAAGTATCATTATTTAAGTATCAAAGTAAAATTACTGTCATCGCTGAAAGTCATTTTTATCCTTGTAAATTAATTACATTAGAACTCCTTCCGGCGTTTGGATATGGACTGGTCCATTCTTTGTTTTCCTGAAAAGGTGATTTTTATTATGTGATGCAGGGACATTTTGAGCCATTTGTCGAAGAGGGTGGCCTGGCCGTGGGCTCTGCCTGGGGCGCCGTGTGCCGTGGGCCTGTGGGTGCAGCCCCTCCACTGCTGCGGGGGCCTGCGTGGCACGGCACGGTTCTGCGCCCGAGGGCCAGTGCGTTCCAGCTCGGGAAAGACGTGTGACCAGCTTGCTTTGGGAACCAATCTGCCAAGACGCGGCTAACTGGATGCCAGCTTGTCTTTCTGTGGGAGACAGGGCAGGTCCGTTCCCTCTGTCCTCACGGTCGCTTGCTTCATTCGATAGATCTGATATACTTTTGGATGATTTAGATGCTGCTCCCGCGGCGGCAGCGCCCCACGCCGGTGCCCGGAGGCAGCTGCAGCTCCCTCCTCCAGCTGACGCGGAAGGTAGCTCCCTTATGACAACTCTCACCGGGTTTCGTGAGTCTCTGCTGTCTTCCCAAGCTTCTGAATTCAGAGCATCACACGCTTACGTAGTTTCTACCCCAGGACCCCGGAACACAGTGTTCTTGCTGCTCAAGCTGAGCATCCACATGGTCTGGCCGAGAAGGCGTGGGCTGTGTGCCCCCTGCACCCGGCACCTCTGCTCGTCCGCGTTCTCGCTCTGTTTGGGCGGGGGTGGAGGGCACAGCCCTTGGTGCGCGTGGGTCTGCCCGTGTCTTCAGGGGCACTCCTGGCAGTGCTCAGTGGGCAGTACACGGTGCCAGGGATTGAACCGGGGTGACCGCATGCAGGGCGACTCCTTATATCCCTGAAGTTTATGCACAGTGCAGGTTTTAGGTGAATTTTCTTTTTTCTCACTTATATTTTAGGTTTGGAATAAAGGTATAAGACAATATAGGTGAAATTGCTTGGTCAGGCACTCAAAACCTTACCTTTGTAGTATTACGTCTACTGCATGTTCTGCTTCTAAGCTTCCTGTTTTGGTTTGGGGTCACACCCAGCCCTGTCAGTTGCTCGGGACCCTCTGGTTGGTGCTGGATCAGCCTTGGGTTAGCCGCGCGCGAGACAAGCACTTTCTTCCCGCTGTCCTCTCTCTGGCCTGCTTTATCAGCATTTCTTTTTTTTTTGCCAGGCTTTTTGCTCGGTGCTTCGCATGCGTGAGGCTCTGTGTCAATCCCTGGTACCACAGAAAATAAGACTTATTCTTTCTTTGCTCTAAGTTTAGTTAAAGTTTATTTAAGTTTCCAGAAAGTTCACCTACATTGGTTCTGAGAAGTTGTGAGGACTGTCAGACTCGGGGCAGGATGCAGACAGGATCCTGTGGCGGCGCAGGCATGGCTGGTCACTGGTGTCCTCTTGGCTTTCTGGGGCTGTGGTGGCTGGGGGCTTGTTTGCGGAGGCAGGGGAACTCAGAGCGGCCTGTCCCGGAGGCGAAGGCGGGTGACAGAGCACCGTGAGTGATGAGTCGCAGCCATGGGTCAGAGACTTTTTTTTCTTTGACAGAAGAACAGTCATGGGCAGTGGCTGCGCACACCCTGGCTCCCGTGGGCGGCCTTCACCCCGAGCCCATGCCGAGGGCAGTGACGCCCCCCATGGCCAGCCCGGGCCCAGCCCCGCCTGCCGCAGCCGCCCGGCCAGAAGGTGACTTTGAATATACAGCAAAAATCAGGACTCTTGCCGAGACAGAACGTTTTTTTGATGAACTTACCAAAGAAAAGGATCAGGTAAAGATCCCTCGGAGCCGAGTGGTAGGTCCGAGAAGGGGAGGGGGGTGGTCAGCCGGCCTGACTGGGGCTCCCAGTGGGCTGCGCACTCTGGCCTGGGTCTCCCTTCGGAGCTTCCCTGCCAGGAGCAGTTCCTCTGTGCTCACGTGAACTTCCTTTGTGTTAACAGATCGAGGCGGCGCTGAGCCGAATGCCTTCTGGAGGACGGGTCACTTTGCAGACGAGGTTAAACCAGGTGAGAGGTCTTGGCGTGACTGGATGCTGACGGATGCTGGTCCAGGCTGCGGTTTTCCAGAGTGACCTTTTTAATGATGGCCAGCGCGCAGAGAATTTAGCCTTTCTACAGGAAGCACCTGTTCCGAGTAATTTTATATCTGCAGGCTAGCTTTCAGGAATGGAAACTGATCCTCCCCTCATACTTCAAGGAAGAGGGATTCCCGCCTTTGTGTTTTCAGGAAGCTAGCTCGGGGGCTGGTGCCCCATGAGGAGCCCTGGGGTGCTCAAGCGGCAGCACGCGCCCCCGCCCTCTCGCCCACCTCGCCGGGCCCCTCGGGGGGCTCTCCTAGTTATTGAATTTGTTTTCTGGGCCACACCTGGCGGGGCTCAGGGCTTCCTGGGGTCTCAGAGACCATCTGGGGTATGGGGGTTAAGCCAGTGCCGGCCTCACGCTGGGCAAGCGCCTGAACACCAGTGCTGGCACTTCGCACACCCAGCATACCCTCTTTTCCTTTAACTTAGTCACTGAAATTACACAAGTTCTCAGGCATGGCTTTTAGGCATTCGGTGTTTCACCCATGTCCACTTCCCTCCCCAGTATCCCCGTTGGCCTCCCACCCACTCATCTGCCTCTTAGAGAGGCGCTTTCACACAAAGGAGTTTTTGCAGTGTGGTTTACGTAGGCCCTCTTTTTAAGTGGTGCAGGGAACTAATCTGTCTCCCATGTGCCGGGAAGTGCTCTGCCACGAAACTCCATCCTCTCTTCAACATGCCCTTGATGCCCTTGTAAGAGATTTACTTTTTTTTTTTTTTTTTTTGCTTTTTGGGTCACACCTGGCGATGCTCAGGGGTTACTCCTGGTTCTGCACTCAGGAATCACCCCTGGCGGTGCTCAGGGGACCATTTGGGATGCGCTGGGAATCGAACCCGGGTCGGCCGTGTGCAAGGCAAACGCCCTACCCGCTGTGCTGTTGCTCCAGCCCCCGAGATTTACATTTTTGGTTTTGTTGCTGTTGTTGTTTGGGGGCACACGTGGTGGTGCCCAGAGATCACTCCTGGTGGTCCTCGGGGGACCATCTGGGATGCTCGAGATTGGACCCCGCTGTCTGCATATGAGGCGAGCACCCTGCTCACTGCAGTATCCCTCTGGCTGCAGACTTTACATTAAGTTAATGCTTTTGCATTAGACCGCCCCTTTCCCGTTGGTCTGCTCAAGACGTTGTGCATCTAGGCTGGCTAAGACGCTGGCGGCGAGTCTTATTCCGTGGTTGCCACGGGAGGCGGAGTGGCTGATGTGGCCAGTGTGTCCCTCTGGGTGCTTTCCAGGAGGACAAACAAACATGAAACATGCAGGCCTTTCAGTCTGCTCTCTTTTCTTTTCGGGCTACACCTGCTGATGCTCAGAGGTTACGCCTGGCGGTGCTCGAGGGCCCATGATAGATGCCGGGGATCAAACCCGGGTCCACCGCCGACAAGGCAAACGCCCTCCCCATTGGACTAGCTCTCCGGCTTCACAATCTGCTCTTTCTGTGACATTTTTTCAGCATACAAGCTGCAAGTATGTCTCATGTGAAGGAATGTTTTGGTATTTTTGTGCCTTCATGGAAGGAACAATACCTATCCTGACTGATTATGGGCCGAAAGGAGGCAGAGAGGAAGCAGAAGTGTCCTTGGCCAGGACTGGACCCCAAGCTTCTTCTCTTTTATTATTGTCTTTTCTGTGGTTTTCATTCAGTGACTGGTAAGACTGTTTCTTAAAATAGTATACAGGGATGGCCCTGGAGTGCTAGCACAGCGGCTAGGGCATTTGCCTTGCGTGTGGCTGGCCGGGTTTGATTCCCAGTACCCCAGATGCTCCCCTGAGCCCACCAGGAGAGAGAACACAGAGCCAGGGGTAAACCCTGAGCACTGCCGGGTGTGTCCCAAAAAACAAAAATAGAAAGGAAAGAGTTCCCTGGAAAAGCAGAACAAAAACTTGTGGTTACTCTGACACAATCTCAATCTTTTGAAACATCTGCTTAATACATTTTTATACTATGATAATAGCACGCAAAATAAATCTCCCAGGGCAGGAGTTTCTGTTTATATCAGAGCTATTCTGGTCCAATATTTGTTTAAATGGCAGCAGTAAAGGGCCAAGAAAATTTAGGAAGTAAAAAAAGTAAAAATGGGCAAAAAAGTTGAAAAATGCTTATGTGTCACTAGTGAAAAATACTCAAAGGCGTCTCATTTCCAAATGGCGACCTTGGCAGGAGGCATGTCATTAAGAAGTGCTACTGCTAGCCACAGCGTTGCCTGGGAGCAGAACCTTGCATGAAGCTCAGGAGCTTGGGGCCCGGGACAGTGACTGATGCTGGCCCCGGGACAGCGGCAGGTACCAGGGCCCAGGACAGTGGCAGGTGTCGGGGCGTGCAGGGATTGACGGCGCACGACGCTAGTCCTATTGTCCCAGGCCCTGGCAAGTCTTCACCTAGTTTTTGGGGGTTGTTCAGCTTCTCTTTTTTGGTGCTCGGGCTACTCCTGACAGCGTTTGATCCGGGGGTCAGCCACCTGAGGCGAGTCTTCTCATCCTGTGCTGTTGCTCTCCCTGGGGCAGGTGTGTGGTTGTGGCTGGTTCATTTTGTTTTGCTTTGGGGCCAAACCCAGTGGTACTCAGGGCTTAGTCCCGGGAGCGCTCAGGGAACCTCTGGGGTCCCGGGACAGAACCCGGTCAGCTGTGTGCAAGGTGAGTGACCTGCCCGCTGGTCACTACCTCCCAGGCAGGTATTTTTATTTTGTTTGATGTAATTTTTTTAGGGCATTCATACCTGGCGGTGCTCAGGCATCACTGCAGGTGGGACACGGGATTGAGCCTTAGCCGCTGTTTTCTCCAGCCCAGGCCCGTATTTTTAAAAGAACAGTTCTCAGACTGGGAATCCCATTCTCATTACTACCAGTGGGAGGGAAATTGTGGGGCCAGAGAGATAGTGGAGCAGGCAGGGTGCTTGTCTAGCTTATGGCTGACCCAGATTCAATCCCCTCTTCCCACACTGTTCCCTGAGCTTGTCAGGAGTGACCCCTGAGCACCACTGAGTGTGGCCAAAAAAAAAAAAAAACCCAAAAAGATAAAAAATCATTTTGGGGTATTTGTTTTGGTTTTGAGCCACACCCAGTGGTGCTCAGGGTTACCGATGGCTCTGCCTCAGGGAGGGGTCACCCTGGCAGCATATGGAATCCGGGGATCAAACCCTGGTCAGTTGAGTGCAGGGCAGACGCCCTCCCCGCTGGCCTGTTGGCCCGACTCCCGGAAGGAGAGTTGTTTATAGAGTGCCACGGGCTGGAGCCAGCGCCTGAGGTCGGCGCGTCTGTGGCCGCCCTCGCTCTGCTGGGAAGGTTCCTAACACGGTGTTTATAGGAGCAAAGAAATATGTTTGGAACTGCCGCACCATTGTTTACAGTGGTCCAAGTTCCAAACAACCTGAATTTAGATGAAAAGATAATTGTTTAACTCTGGCGCATATGATGGAGTATTGCAAAGTGGCTTAAGATGTCAGAGCCTGTTTTGTAACGAGAAAGTTCAGTGGAAACTTTTCTTTTGTTGGGGCCAGGAGTTGAGCCACATTTGGCAGTGCTCGGGACTCCCAGTGTGGTGCTCAAAGCTCACGCCTGGCGTTCCTGGGATCTCGTGCCAGGGATTGAGCCCACAGCTCCTGGATGCCAAGGCCAGGCCTCCCCGCTGAGCCCTGCCCTTGCACGCCTGCAGCTGACCCGCTCTCCGGGGTGGTGACGCTCCACGGGAGCCTGTGTCTGTGTGTGAAGCCCGGGCTCAGCCCCTGCCACTGCAGAAAAGGGGGAACAGACATTTGCGACCTTCTGTTTGTGCTTTGCCAAAAGCGAGGTCAGTCTGGTGATGCTTGTAGAGCCAGAGAACTCGCCAAGGAATTCTAACGAAATGTTTTCAATTCTTCTCATCTAGGAAGCCTTGGAAGAGCGCTTGGAGAGGGTCAACCGAGAGCTGGGTTCCATCCGAATGACATTAAAGAAATGCCATGTTCTGCGCACCTGTGCAAACCTCTGAGATTTGTTGCCATTAAATTTTAAGATGTTTTTGTTTGCACTAACATATAATTAGCACTCAGAAAAGACGTAAACTATTTTGTACTGTTTATAAGCCTTCAAATGGTAGTTTTACAATCATGCTGTTCTTACACTTGCTATTTTATACTTCAGATGGCCACATATTTTCAAGATATTTTTGTTATTCTCAGGAATCTCTTGTATATTTGACTATTTCAAAAGTGTTATTTTAAAATAGTGTAAGTCTCCACTTTATATTAAAAGCAAGGGAGTGTAAACAGAAGAGGTAGCTTGTTTCTTAAAGTGTTCCCCTTTTTCAGTGAACTTTGCACACCCATTTTGTAAGTTTGTTCCACATTGGAAATTAGTTTTTAAAAGCTCAGCGCTAATAGACAGCTTCCCATTGGTGGAGAATAACATGTGAATACAAAGTGATCACAGTACACCTGGAATTTTAGTTGTGTTGAGGCTTTCAAAAATAAACAGTGTGATTTGGGGGACACATTTGTCCTAGAGGGACTGTTAGGATGGAGAACAATGGAGCTGTTGGAGCTCACGGCGTCCTGTGCACTCTGAAGGCTACGTGGGAGACTCGAGTCGTTTTCTCAAAACCATTTGTCAGGAGAAAAGCAGGCGCGATGGGCCTGGGACGGAGCCGTGCGCACTCTGAGCAGAGGAAGAGGCTGGCCGAGGCCAGCAGCAGGACAGCGACGGCGGCTGAGGCCGTGAAGCGCTCCCTGTCCCCCCGCTCCCCTGCCCGGCCGCCCTCCTCGCCACGCCGCGCCTCTGAAGACACTGGGGTCTGAGGTGCGGCTGAGCTTCTGAGCTTCACGCCCACGGGCCTGCCTGCACCGCCTCTCCGGCCCACTCAGGCCTCCTCCGGGTCAGTCCAGGACCAGCAGAGAAGCAAGTGCCTTTATTCTCGGTATTTTCCCTCATTTCCGCCTTTTCCTCCCCCCCACTCCCCGCCCCCGGTCTCCTGGTAAGGATACAGTCCCATGCTTAACTCTCACACCCAGCCATCCTCACAGATTGGCAAACCTACCGTAGTCCCTGATCTTTCTGTACGTACGAAAAACTCCTGTCAGTGATCAGGATAGTGTTTCTCTCTGGACTCTAAAGTACTTTTCTTTTTTTCAAGAATAAGGCAATTGCCACCAGAAGAGATCATGTAGGTTGATCTTAGAAAGAATGTGACTTCTTAGTCCTCAAGAATATTAAGGCCTGTCAGAACATCGGCCTCTTCTAGACTCTACATATGCTTTGGTGTTGGAGTCGTTTTGTTAAAATTATTCTTTCATAGCTATGACCAGGGAAGCCAAGGAAAACCCTTTTGGCAGCCTTTCCCTTTGGTCATGCCGGACTCTGGAGCACTTGCGTTAAAAACAACCCGGGCACACACGGAAAGGGGCCAGGTCTCAAGCCGTGCGACCCAGGGAGGGCAACACCTTCTGTCCTCTCTCTGCTGACCCCAGCTGCAGGGTCAGGTCAGTGAAAAGCCGGTCTGGATTCCCCAGAGCCTGACCCTGAACCTCCTCAGGCCCTGGCCCGTCTCCACGGCCCTCACCCTCCCCATTCCGCCTCTCCTCTGCACCTGCCCCACCTCTCCCTGCAACTGTCCCCCCCTCCCCTGCACCTGCCCTGCTTCTGCACATCCTGCATCTGCCCCGTCCCGCCTCTCCCCTGTACCTGCCCCACCTCACCCCTGCAGCTGTCCCCCTCTCCCCTGCACCTGCCCCTCCTCCCCTGCACCTGCCCCTCCTCCTCTGCACATCCCACAGCACACTGCTCTGAGGTGCTTTTTGTGAAGTTTAAATGAGCTTCCCTCTGAGTTTTTTTTTTCTTTTAATGACAAAATAATCTCTTGAGTATAAGTTCAGAAGGCGCTTTGATCTCAAGTAAGATGGTTGATAGGGGTTATTTGATATAAACATAGGTTGTTTTCCTCAAAGGCATTGCCAGTGTAATCAAGATAATTGCTCCTTTGACTGTTCCCCTAATTAGGCCCCTCTGGGGTGGCCCATGGGCCTGGCCCACTCCTGAGACCTGCCCTTGCTCCCGTGAGCAGCGCCCCGAGTTCTTAGGCCGATGACCAACACGTGTGCCCCTGCCCAGCTCTGCGCTTTGAACGTTATTCGGGGAATATAGACATTTATTTGCCTTTTTACACACCTTAAAGACGGTTTTCACTAAATTTTAATGAGCCATAGGTGCTTTGAGTCTTTAAGAAGCTTTAAAAAAACAAACAGAAAAACAGGCACCGCTGAGCTCACTGAGGGACCCTTGAGGTGGCCCGTCCGTCGTCCTGAGTGAGCGCGTCTTGTTCTGAGAGTTGTAGGATCTGATCAAGCTGATTTTACTGCGCGAGTTTTGCAGGAAATAGCTTTCTGCACTGTCCCGACATGATTCCCTTGGCCGCTTAATGGTGATATAAGCCATCTGTGTCCTGTGTTTGACTTTCCCTTGTAACTTGTAGTTCCAGCAGACCCTCAGGAGGAATCAAGCCATAAGCCCGCGTTGCTGGGTCCCACACACCCATCTACCACAGGAGTCCAGATAACCAGGCGGTATTGCCACACACTATAACAGTGACCATAATGTGAAAAGAAAAAGCCTTTCATATGCCACTTGTTCTTGGGGAGACTGCTCACTGGAGCAGGGCCCACGCCCTCCCTACACCCAGGCACTTGATCAATAAATGTCTGTGCACCCAGGTTGTGTCGTGGTGATTTGTACCAGCCGTGTGTGTGTGGCGGGGGGGTGCTTCCTGCAGCTGGCAGGGTGGGCTCTCACTGGGGCTCCAGGGTGCCCTAGAAAGCAGGTTAGGGGCCCCCGTGGGTGGAGGGGAGGGTTGACTCATCAAATTTTTTTTTTTTTGCTTTTTGGGTCACACCTGGCGATGGACAGGGGTTTCTCCTGGCTCTGCAGTCAGGAATTACTCCTGGGGTGCTCAGGGAACCCTATGGGATGCTGGGGATCGAACCCAGGTCAACTTCATGCAAGGCAAACACCTTACCCCCTGTACTAATCTGGCCCCAATATTTCTTTTTTTTTTTTTTTTGGTAACATTATTTGGCTTTTGGACCACCTCTGGGGATGCTCAGGGCTTAGGGATCACTCCTGGGGGGCCGGGGTTTTAGGGGACCCTAAAGGGGAGTTGGGGCTCTCAGCCCAGTGGACCTTGTTCAGGGCCTTGTTCCCGGGCAGACTTGGGTGCCTTTGCCGGGCAGCCAGAGCAGATGTCTGCTGGAGGCGCCCGCTGACGCCCCTCACGCGGCTCTCGGCAGAGGGGTCCCCCCGCCCTTCTTGGGCCCCGGCCCGGCACAGCGGGTGTGTGGTCATTTCACCCCAAAGCGCTTTGTCAAAGCGAATGGAGCGTGACCTCCGCGGGAGAGCCCTTTTGCCAGACGCGGGGGCGCGGGACTCGGGGACGCGGGGCGCGGGGGACGCGGGGCGCGGGGGACGCGGGGCGCGGGGGCTCGGGGGGCTCGGGACTCGGGGGTGCGGGGACTCGGGGCCGCGGCGACTCGGGGATTTGGGGGCGCGGGGCGCGGGGACTCGCGGGCGCGGGGCGGGGCGGGGCGGGCCGCGGCGCCCCCCGGCGGCCGCTCGGGCGCGGCTGGCGGAGGCGGCGCGGCGGCCGCGGGCTGGGATGCGGGGCGGGCGGGCCGGGCCCCGCGCTTCTCTGGCCCCGCCGCGTCTCCGGAGCCCGCACGTGCCCGGGGCATGTCCGCGGGGCCCGGGCGCAGCTGGCGGCGGCGGCGGCGCGGGGCGCGGGGCGCGGGCGGCCGGGCCGGGGCGGCGGCGCAGCGCGGCCGAGAGGACGGCGGAGCCCGCGGGGCGGTGAGTCGGGGCCGGGGACCCCGCGGGCGGCGGGCGGGGCGGGGACCCTCGGGCGGGGGGCCGGGCCGGGTCCCCGCGCGGGCGCCTGCAGGCCGGGCCGGGTGTCCCCGAGGACGCGCGGGCGCCCGACTCTCCTTCCCGTGTGACCCGGGCCGCTTCCTCCGGGCCTCGCGGGGCGCCGGGCAGCGGGGCCCCAGGCCGGGCATCCCGGCTCTGCCCGTGCGCCGCCGCCGACGGGCACCCCGGGGCGCTGCGGGGCGCAGCGTCCCGGGGGCTGCGGGGGGCGCCGACCTCTCGCGGGGCTCCCTGCCTCCCCCCCGCCTCCTCCGCCGCCCCCGGCCGCGCTGGGCGGGGGTCCGAGTCTGCGCCCCGCGCTGTTTACCCTGGAGATGCGCGGGCTGGGTCGGGACTGGCAGGTCTCCCCCTCTCCCTCCCGCCGAGCCCCAGGTCACCCGCTCCCCTAAACGTCAGGTGGGGGAGAGCATGAGGACAGGTACCAGGCCGAGTGCCAGAGGGGTGGCGCCCAGGCTTCTGCAGGTCCGAGCACTGGGCTGGCACTGCAGGGCCGCACCCCTGCCTGGCCAAGGTTTGTGGGGTGCCACCCTGCCCAGAGGCCCTGCAAAGAACCAAGCTGAGGGCCGGTCAGTGGTCCAGCAGGGGGCCTTGCTTGCACACAGCCAACCCAGCTTCAATCCCGGACACCACATATGGTCCCACCAGGAGCGATCCTTGGACACCTCCAGGTGTGGCCCCCAAAGAGACAGACAAGGACCGCACTGAGTGGTCCAGCAGGGGGCCTTGCTTGCACACAGCCAACCCAGCTTCAATCCCGGACACCACATATGGTCCCACCAGGAGCGATCCTTGGACACCTCCAGGTGTGGCCCCCAAAGAGACAGACAAGGACCGCACTGTCCCCCGGCAAACCATGCCAGAGCCGGGCCCTTCCTGAGTGCCGCTCTCTGTGTCCCCGGGGCTGGTGCCAGGGCAAGGATGTCTGTGCACCTGGGGGAGCCCAGAGCCCCCTCCCTCCCTCCAGCATTGTCTTTAACCAGATACGTCCTGGCGGGGCAGTTCCCCCTTTCTGCCCATCTCTGAGTAGAGCCAGCCCCACCAGAGGTGAGGGCCGGGGGTGGCTGTGTGTTATTTGTAGCAATTAGAGGAGGAAACTTCTGGACCTGGAGATCTCAGTGTGCTGTCCTTGGAATGGAGGCCAGGGCCACCGCTGCTCTCTGTGAGGGCCCCGAGGGCGCTGGACACCCGCCAAGCTGCCCCCCTCCCCACAGCCACCCCGAAGTGAGCTGCCGCTGCCCCCAAACCGCACAGCCAGCCCGGCGCAGATAGGGCACCATGCCCAGTTTCCCTGCGTTCCTGGCAGGCCCTGGGCAGTGCCCCCTGGAGCCCAGCGCCCCTGCTGGGCTCCTGGTGCCATCTGGGCTGCCAGCCTCAGGCTCCCGAGAAGCCACCTGTAGCACGCAGGGCGTGGACCCCAGGACTGGCCGCTCCCTCCCGGCCATGAGACCCACGACACCCGTGTCCCTGCTTCCTGCGAGAAGCTGTGGGGTCTGGGAGCCCCCTGCCGTGCCCTCTGGCTCCCCTCGCCAGCCCCACACGCTGTCCGCTGCATCCCGCTGCCCTCCTTCCTTCGGCGAAGGAGGCCGAGGGTGCCCTGGAGTGGTCCCCTGGGACTGAGCTCAGTGGAAGGAGCCTCTCGGTCCCAGCTGGGCTGAGGTCTGGAGGAGGGGCTGGGGAGACACCATGCGGGCAGGGAGTCGGGCCATGCAGGCCTGCCCGCAGCCCAGGTGTGTTTCTATTATGGGGTCACACCCGACGGTGCTCAGGGGTCACTGCTGGCGGGGCTTGAGAGACCCTATGGGGTGCCAAGATCGAACCGCCCTCTGCTGTTCATTCTCTCTCTCTCTCTCTCTCTCTCCCCACCCCCCCCCCCCGCAATGTTGCCAGGAAGGAAGCGCTGGTGAGGGGTGGGGGGCTGTTAGGAGGAGGGGGCACCCGGGGTTGGGGTCACACTCTGTGCAGGGAGTGGGGACCACAGCCAGCCCTGCTTAGCCTCGGTTGTGTGTGTGTGTGGAGGGGGGGTGCGCATGCATGAGTGTGTGTGTGTGTGTGTGCGTGTGTGTGTGTGCATGTCTGTGTGTCTGTGTGTGCGTGTGGCTGTATCTGTGTGTGTCCATGTGTGCGTGTCTGTGTGTATGTTTGTGTGCGTGTGTGGCGGGAGCTGACCTTCAGCCCGGCCCTCTAAGGGGGCCGCAAGTGAGAAACATAGACATAGGGGCCAGATACAGGAGACTCAGGGACTGGCCAATAGGGACGGAAGGCGGGGGGGGCGGGGTGCACGGTCAGAGAAAAGTGGAGAATGCCCCAGCGCGGCGCGGGCGTGGCTGGGGCCCTGTGAGTGTGAGCGCCTTGGGCGGGCCCCATGTGCCCACGCGTCACGGGCTCTGCCTACCTGGGGCTCGGTGAGGCGGGAATCAAACGCAGCCTCCTCGGCCCAGGGCAGCTGAGCTCCCTGAAGAGAGGCCTCACGTGGGCAGCTGCCCTTGCCAAGGACAAGGAGGGAAGTGACCAGAGGCCGGGCTCCCTGCGGGCGCATCAGCTGCTACTCAGCCCCGTGGCCTCAGTTTCCCTGGGCCCATCCTGTTCCCCGCCGTGGGGCACGGGGTGGGGGCAGAGACAGGGGGTCCTGAGGGCTGGTGCAGCTTGGGAGAGCGGGTCTGCAGCATCATGGCTGCATTGGGCTGGACTCGCTCCGTTGTGGCACTGAGCTCAGCCCTGCAGTGCTCCCCTCCAGCCCGACCTCTGACCAGACAGGACCCCTTGCTGGGGCTGGTGGCCAGCGGCAGCGCAGCCTGTCCGGCCAGGGGTCGGGTCTGGCACGGGGACTGTATGTGCTGGTTGGAGGGGCCACTCGTCCGCGTCCCTAGGGGCTGCCAGCTCTTCCCTAACATTCCCACCCCCCACACAGTGCCCAGTGAGTGCTCGGCCTCGGGTCCCCCGCCCAGGAGGGAGGAGGCAGTGCCTGCGGGCTAGTGCTGGGCACTGCTGGGTTTCCCCTGCGGGGGGCGGAGCGTGGCCCGGGCAAGTGTCCGGCTGGTTCTGTGAGGCCCAGCCCCCCCCCCCCCCCCCCCTGTCGCTGTCATGCCCAAGGCCCTTTAATTGCTTTTCTTGGCTCTTGGTAAGACTTTCTGTTGACTTTCACTTCTTTTTTTGCCACCCGCCCCCCTCCTTCTTCCTTTTTCATAAGTGGGAGAAAACCCAAACATTTCTGCAATTAGTTTTCCCTCTTGGGTAACTGTGGAGAAAGGCCTTCGGGTCCCCACGGGGGCCAGGGTGGGGGCGGCTGACCCGAGCGCCTTGACTTGGTGGTGCTGGCTGAAGTGCGGCTCTTTCTCTCCATGCTGCCTGCCCTGGGCGCCATCCTTCCATCCTCTGAAGGGAAGGGTCCGAGAGCCCTCTCTCCAAGGTGACCGGTGACACGCCTGCCAACCCAGATGCAGGGGAGGGCTCTCCTCCTGAGACGCCTGTGGCTGCAGAAGACAGGCCCTCTCCAGACTCGGGGATTCCGGGCCCAGCCCAGCTGCCCTTCAGGCGGGGGAGTCCCCACTGCTCCCCTGTTGTGGTGAGGAAGGGTCCGGGGTGTCGCCCTTGGCCGGATGCATGGACCCCACTGGCCACTGAGGCAGCAGCCACGCCCGGTCTCTGAGCAGGACGCTGAGGAGGCATGGCTGCAGCCAGACCCCCAGGAATGCATCTGAGGCCCACCCCTCACTTCAGGGGACCCTGAAACCCACCCTGCTTCCGGGTCCCCGTGCAGGCCTTGGGGGCACCTTGGCCCTTTCTCCGGGGGGCGGGGTGGGGATTCTCTTCTCGTTTCGTGACACTGCTCTGCATGTCCCCAGATCACGGGGGTCGGAGCCCGCACGTTGGGGCCCGCTCTGCCGCCAGGGCTCCAGGGGCCCTGAGTGCAGGTCCCCCGTGGGTTCTACATACACATACACACACGCATGCATGCACGCATGCACGCGCACACGTGGGCTGCCCACATCTACCACCCACGGGTGGGAAGGAGCCGGGCCTCGAGGGATGGGTATGTGTGTTGGAGTAGGTGATGCCCCCTTCCTTTTTGGTCACTGTGTGAGGACATGGGGCTGGACACTCTGGCACTCTGGGGGGGCCCAGCAGATCCGACGGGCCTCCTTGGTGCATGTGGGTGGTCCGGGGGCGGAGTTCCCGGCCTGATGCTCACCAGGCAGATGCCATGGCCCTGAGCGGCCCTGAGAATCGTGCATTCGCTTGTGGATGCTGCCCCGACCTTGGACCTTCTCACTCACCCAGGCTCCCACTGCCCACTCAGGCCTGCGACCTGCTCCCCTCAGCGCAGCTGCCTCTGCGGGCCCCTGGCACTCCTACTCTTGTCTTCTGGGGTCCTGGGTCTCTGGCTGCATAGGCCCCCTCCTCACTTCCTGCACTCGCCCAAGAGCCGAGATGCACTTCATGCCGGCCATGTGGGGGGCAGCGGCAGCTGAAGCCGGGGTCTCGCAGGGACAGCTGCCCTGCCCCTCCGGCCGGCTCCATCGCACTGCGTGCCTGCGGCCTATGAGTCCCCGCAGCCTCGCTCCCCTCCCCGAGGACTCGGGACCCCCACCTTGGCTCCTCCCTCGTGGGTGCCAGTGGGGGCCCCACAGGCGGGCGGGCGGGCGGCTGAGTCAGGGCAGAGTCCCGCTTGTCGCACTTGCCTTCATTAGGCTAATTAACGTTCGATGTGAATTAGCCCCGGTGCTGACTTAGTAAATCCATTCTCGCCGGCCGCGGGCACGGGCAGCCGTGCCAGGAAGCTGCTCTGAGCGGTTCCGCGGCCGCCAATTAAGGCTGCTTAATTATTAACTCGGGCCGGGTGAGTAATGGAGCCGCGATCGCCGCGCTTCACTGAGGATCTTTCAGGCCGTTTAAAATCGGGCATAATTTACTTAATAATTGGAGCT